CTGCTGAAATACATTTCACAATAAGGAGGAAACAGCGAAATGGTCATAGCACATTTCTGCTCAAAGATCCTGCAACCAGAGACAATAAGTCTAGACAGCAGCAGCAGTTTATGCTGAACTGAAGGCATAAAATCCAGGTGTGCACCGAGGTACTGCCCCTATGCTTGGGGGAATATGGATGAGCCAAAGCACAATGCAGCCAAGACCCCCCTGGCTGTGAATGTGAGGACAGTCCATTTTCTTAGCACGTGGTATGCAGGGGAACTGTGCACTTTGCAAAGCATCCCCTTCACTCCATTCAGCTTTGGTGTGAGAAAACTGTGGAGGCCTGCATTTCACACCTTCTTTTTTTGCAATGCATATTCAAAATTTCGTTCTGCCTCATAGTTATATCTTGTGAAGAACAAAGTTGAAAGGCAGATTGTTCTTAGACTCTAGACCCAAGCTCATTAACACTTTATCATTTTCATAATTCATTAGTTTCAATTTCACAGGAACTGCCACCAGCAGTGATTTTTTTCATCATGGCCAAAATAGATTAAACTATAGTAGGAAACCATAAAGTTGTAATCCTATGAGAAAGCATCAGTTGGATGCACAACAGAAGACTCTGGAAGAAGTCCAAAACAGTGAAGTTTCTGCTCTTTCCTGTTGAGGAAAAAAAAAAAAAGAAAAGAAAAGAAAACACAGCAAGACAGCAAAAACAGCCAACAGCTTCATGAAGGAGTCACTAGGAAAGACAAGAAAGACAAAATAGGTCTGGGTTGCACAAGACACTCTAGAACTGTGTAACAGAGAAAAGACTGCATCTAAGACATGGAAAAGATAGAAGAAGCAGTGAAGATGAAAAGGTCTTGAAACAGACAAATATTGACTGTGCCTTCAAGAAAACAGATCACATGGTACCTATGAGAAAGTCTTCAAAAAGTAGAACAAGAAGTAGTGTCAGGGACACAAAAAGGAACTTGCAGACAGAGCTGTTGCAGAAAGACATCATAAACACCGTAACAACTTCTACCAATGTAATCTAAATGTTCCTCCCTCTAGCTAAAACTCTTTCGCTTAATACCACCACCACGTAGTGCATGAATAAGAGACAGAAAGGCTCAGGGAGCCAGAGAAATTATGTGAAGGTGTTATGTCATGCTTTATTTCAGTAAAGCAAAACAGATCTGCAAGCAAGGCCTGTGCATCTGCTCCTGCCACCAGCCATGTTTATGACTTACCCTGGAGACACAGGAACATCAGAGTTTGGAAAGATGGTTGGTACCCTCTGCCTTGGAGTGATCCTGTGTTCCCAGTAAGAGGAGAAGGGTTGAAGGCAGCAGGACAAGCAGAAAAGCCAGCCAGAAAAGCCATGCCAAGTCAGTGCAAGGCATGTCATGGCAACAAGGGCATCAAGCAAGGGACATCAAAGGGAACACCAGTGAGAGGTGTGGTTAAAAGACTGTGAAGTTATCCTCTTAAATTTTAGAAGAGTGATTAAAAAATGGAATCACTCCCATGATAGCAAATCTCATAGTTTCCAGAATCTGGAAAAATAAGAGATAGATCTCAAACACATAGAGGCAAGACTTTAGAGATGGTTGTGTTCTCAGCAGTCCCATGTCAGCACACGTCAACACAACTGCTGTTAAATATGGAACTCAAACCTTTGAATTCAGATGCCTCTGAAGGATTACACAGAAATCAAAAGCAGTGAATGGGACTAAGAGCTCCATTAGAGAAGAAGCTGAGGTAATTGGGTCCCATGAGCCTGCATAAGCAGTAAGAAGAGAGGAAATTGTCCATATGACCAGAACAACGGACTTGCAAATGCAGATCTGCTGGGAAAAATCAAAGGGAAGAGGAAGGCAGAATGCCCAGGGACAGTATGACTCAAAAACATCATCATCTCGACAGAGAAATGATGGGGAGCTAACAAGGAAAAGAAACTTGTGGACAAATTCTAGCCAGTGCCAAAAGGTGATATTCTGAAGAGTACGCTGGTGAAGTGAAAGGAAAGATGAATCAGTCACAACTATTCATAGCAGTTCATAACCTGGCCTTGTCCTGCTTACTTACTGAGTAAGCAAAGGGCAGAAAACAGAGCACAGTCAACAGAGAACCATTAATGTGTGCTATTAATGCTTCTATCACCCCCAAGATGTACCATTATCATAACTTTGTTTTGGGCTACTCAAAACTGAACACTGATCTCCATGTTTCATCTTTGGTTTCCTGGAGGTGACCTCTTTCAGTGGGCTTCTAAGTAGGTAGAATTTAAAATCCCTTGACAAGGGCTGGAGCATCTCTCCTCTGAAGAAAGATTAAGGGAGCTGAGCTTGTTTCGCTTAAAAAAGAAAAGACTTTGGGGAGACCTCATTGAGACCTTCCAGTACTTGATGAGAGCTTATAAGCAGAAAGGTGAGCAATTCTTTACATAATCAAACAGTGACAAGACAAGGGAGAATGACTTGAAACTACAAGAGAGGAGATGTGGGTTAGATGTTAGGAAGAAACTCTTCACTCAGAGAGTGATGAGGCAGCTGCACAGGCTGCCCAGGTTAGCTGTGGATGCCCAATCTGTGAAGGTGTTCAAGGCCAGGTTGGATGGGGCCCTGGGCAGCCTGAGCTGGTGGGGGGACAGCCAGCCCACGGCAGGAAGTGGGAACTCAATTATTATTAAGATCCCTTCCAACCTAAGCCATTCTAAGATTATGAACATCTGGCTCACTGAACCAACCCTATGTTTGCTGTTGCTTTCATCATGTTCTTGTCATCTTGCCACTATTTTAGTGAGGTGGTAGAGGTTTTTTTTTGTTCTTTGTGTGCCCTGGGTGTATTTTGTGAGCCCAAGAAGGATGAATTTTGTGCCTGCAGCTTTCAGCAGGATTACACCAGGCTGGCAAAAAAGTGCCTGCTTGTAGCTTTGGCAGAAGTCATAAGTTCCTTTACGTGATAGTGCCATGATTCCTCCCTGAGCAGCAGTGCTCATGTCAGAGGAGCATTCCCAGCTCCTCACAGTGTGTCCTCAGCCAGTGAAAAGCACCAACACCTCCCTGCCTGTCCTCTCCACAGGGAGCCCTGAGGCTGTGCCCAGCAGTCAGCAGAGCCCTTTGGGTCTCTATACCATGAATTCTTTTATAATTAGGCTGCTTTGGCTGTATAGTGCCTGGTGATTTGTGGTGTTTAGCGCTGTTTAACTAAATATGGGAGGAGTTGTAACAGTACAGTGACAAGGCATTTTTATCTGGATGCTCCTCTCTCAATGAGGGGCTTGATCTAATCTTTGTTTAAAATTCAGGCTCCTAAATGGCAGTTTTCTGGCACAGAAACAACCATTGGTCCAAATCTGAACAATCTGCTCATGTTTGTAAACACAAACAGGTGCAGCTTACATCCACCTGCAACTTGGGATGCCAAAGTGAACATGTGGTTCTTCACAGAACAAAGTCCTTAGAACCAGTGTCTGCACAAAGGGCTTTTTTTAATTTGCTGGAAGTTCTTTCTTTTAATTGCTGGAAGTTCAAGTGAGTTCGGAGACTCTTGGGTTTTGGTTAATTCTCTGGAACAGCACTGAGTTTTTTGTCTTTATTTTAGTTTCCTGTGTTAGAGCTGCAAAGCAGATGTATTTCAAACGATTGAAATTGCTCTTTGTAGATGTTTAATGAAAATCCCTGACTGCAACGTGTCTCTTCCTAAACCAAAAAGAAAAAAAAAAAAACTTGCCAGACATTTTTTTCCCAGTTGTGAGAGAAATGTAAGGGAAAGGGATTGTTTTTCCCAAAGTATGTTTGAAAACCCACACTGCTGTATGGTCTGAGCACTCACAGCAAGGCTGATCCCTTCATGCTGATCCAGTACACACTGGTGTTAGGAACAACTTCTGAGAATTGTGCCTTACAAAAAATGCCTGTATTGTTATAGTCAGCACAAAATGGGAACCTACAGGGCCCGGGTTAGGACAAAGGGAGAAGTAAAAGAAGGAAATGCCTTGTTTGGGGAATGAGCTGCGAGGCTGAACAAAAGGGACAAGGCTTGAGCATTTCCTCCCGATGGAAATCTCTGCTCATGAGACAAGTAGAGCCGGTGTCCCTCTGCCCACCCACAAGTGGAGTGGAGACAGATGAATGCCTCCCCTTCCACAGATGCTGAAGGCATCTCACTTTGTAGAGGAACTGGTAACCATGCAGGGCAACGAGCAGGAGAGTCTTCCCAGGGCAGTGACTCATGGACGCTGAAGAAGCTGACTCACCACAGCTGAGGTGGTGCCCACAGCTGAGCTGCAGCCCAGAAGGCAGAGCCAAGGGCAGTGCAAGGCAGCTGCAGTGCAGGATGCAGGTACAAAGATGGGCACTGCAGATGGATCCTGCAGATCCATCATTTTCTCCCTGCCTTGGGTTATCTGTCAGTGTGAACTTTTCTCCACTGTTCAGAGAACTTTTTTTCTAGTTTAGCAGCCCAAATCTCTGTAACAATGTGAAGTTTGGCCTGCACAAGTCCATAGCATGCTTTTACAAGGAAGGTCATCTCAGGGAGCTCTGCAGCATGCTGTGGGTTGTGTTTTGCCGCATGGAGGAAAGTGCTGTTGCTATGTAACACAAAGGAGGGAGAAGACAGGGGAGATAACATCAGTGCATTTTTGTCTGTTCAGACCAAAACAGATTGCAGCATAGAGACCTGCAAGCATATACATATATAGCAGATCTGCAGTTTGTTGGATATAAATGGACTTGTAATTAACCACTAGGCTGTGACCTGTTGTTTCTCCCCACTGTTCCTATTACTGTCAGAATGTTCCGACATCTTGAGGCAACCATTCAGGGAACCAGGCTGTGTTTCCCTGAAGAACATCATTGTGCTTGGCTGTCTGAAGCCAGTTCCTTATGCTTCTTATTATTCCATGCAAAGGCTGGGCAATCACAGAGTGTAAGATGTGTGAACTAAACCCACCCAACTTTCTTTACCCTTCAGCTTAAAGAATACAGTTGCTGACTATCTTTTTTGTTTTTCATCAGTCCTGTATCTGGAAGGATCTGTCCTTGTATTCGAGGATGTCTTCAAGCTGGTTGCCTTCTACTGTGTCAGTAGGTGAGTTGGATTCACTGCTTCTATTCACCCCTCTGGACTGCCTTTGCCCACATGTGTTTCCCACAGCACAACCACCTCTGTCCATGAGTTTACTGGAAGCTTTGTCTGAGGGAAGGCAATGGAGCTGCATCCATAAAGGAGCTGGGCACAGAACAGGCTGGCAGAAGGTTCCTGGGTAAGCCAGGAACATCCACACACACCTGGCAGTGACTTAGGCTGGAAGTGACTCTACAGATCACGGAGTTCCAACCTGCTAAATAGACTGCCTGGGATTGTTGCCCACAGGAGACTCAAAGCACTTAGTCACCTCTTCTGGTACTCCCAAGGAGAGTTCTTTTAAACAAAATCCAGTTCTTTAACCCAAAAATGTAAAGTGATATAGAGCAGACCTTGCATGCTCACTCAGTGCAACAATACCAAGTGTAGTGGGTACAGAGATGAGAAAGACCTTTGCAGACATCCTTATTAGAGTAAGGTTTGATCACCAGCTGATGAGTCCCTCTGTGTAATTAAAACTGAGCATCTGCAGTCTCATCTCATCTGTGTGTCTGTGCCAAGCACATTACAGCAGTACCTACACACCCTGCGTGGTCTGTCCCTGCTTTAGCAGGCCTGGTTTTGAGCTGGACATAATCCTTTGGTCTTCCTTAAGTAGACTTAGATAATTTTTAAAACAGTTGTTTCAGTGTAAGAGAGGAGAGTAGACTCAGGATATGCTTACAGGGCATTTGTGTGAGAGTCTTGTTCAGCTTACACAATAGCAGCGCTCTATCTATGATGATGCAGCATGCTCAGCCAGAGACTTGCACTATTTTGGGTGCTCCAGCTGTGTTCTACTGCTGGAGCAACACTCCAGCTGCACCCATGGAGCTCCATATCACCCTAGTCAATGATAAGTCATTTACATATCTAGATCGATGTAAACCCTACAGAATAGGCAGAAAGTGTTCTGAGCCCCACACAAATGATTTTTGTCTTAGCAAAGGAGCATACAGGAATGGAGCATTTCCATTCAAAGGGCTTGTGGGAGGGAAGAATCTGTTCACCTCTGCTTTCCTGCAGAGAGGATCGTGGATTGAGAACGAATCCAAGAAAACCAGAAAAGCTTTTATATCAGTTCCTGTCACTTCTGAATGCCAAATACGTATTTTGACAGTTCAAGTTATTTCTTAGCATGCTTTTGAAAGACGAGTGGGGAGTCATTTCCTGACAGAAACAGGGAATAAAAACACTGCTTTGGCTCTGCCCTGCTCTTCCCTGGCAGCTTGTAGAAGCTCTCCATAATAATGAGTGGAGAGGCTGCTCTCAAGGCTGTAGTAAACACTCAGCTACAAATAGCTGGAAACAGATTATCAGGCTTCTCAGGCTCCTTCCAGATGAATGTTTGGCTTGTTCTGCCGTGATGACTAAATTACCTTACATCACAAAAATTACACCTGTAGGCAACAGGCTTGTTTGGAAGCTGCCTGCCCTGTATATAAAATCACATTTTTTTTCCTATTAGCTTAATGTCTTCATGTTTCCTGATTTTAGATGTGGTTTTCCAAAAAACAAAACAAAACAAAACAAAACAAAACAAAACAAAAAAAAACACCCACAAATGACTCAAGCATACAACAATAACAAAGAAAGGAGAAGGTCTGTGGGAATCCTCTTCCTCTTTTAAACCTGATATCTGTTGGTATCTGTCAATATTTGTCATAAAAAAAAAAAAAAAAGGGTTAAAATCTGTTTATGTCAAATATCCCTGTTCTTTTGATACATTGTGGGGACTATTATTACCATCTTTTTTTTTTTTTTTTTTAATTGAGGTAGGAAGAGGTTTAGCAAATTGTCACTGGGCAAGGGGCAAATCTAAGCAGTTCGCTGCCAGCCTGAAAGCTCCACTAAATTGTCTCAGACCCAAGGTGTGTTTTAATGAAAGCCAGTTACCATCCTCTGAGAAACTGCATCTATTTGTATGGAAAGTTATCATTAACCCTGTGGTGTCCCCTGACATGACACTACTGCTATTTTCAGAGGAGGAAGCCCCAATGGTGGGGCACATAGCATCAGTGCAGGAGCTGGTGATTGCTTCTGCACTCACAGCAGCCTGGGTTGGCACAGTGCACACGATTCCTTGCTGGGCTCTGGCAACATTCAGTACCTTTCAGAATGGGACTGAAATCGTGAGCCAATTCTAACATTAAAGCAATGGTGAAACCCGGAGTTCCTAGCAATTGAGGGGTTTATTCTTCCACTAGTTTTTTGCTGTGTTTCTTTTTTTACAGGGATTTGCTACCCTTCACCCTGAAGCTACCACAAGCAATATTAGAAGCCCGTAGCTTTCAAGATCTTGAAATTATCTCTAGTCTGGGGATAGGTAAGTCCCTCAAAGCTGCCTGGGTTTCCCTGAGGCTCGTGACAACTACAATGCCTCCCACAGACACAATGCAAAGGTGAATAGATAAGCTGTTGTCTTCAGAACAGATGAGGAAGCCTGAATATGAGTGGCAAGATATTTGTTTTCTTTATGGAAGCACACTGAGAAAAAAAGGCCACATCACCACACTTGGACTTCTATGCAGGGTGTGAGACTGACACTCCCATTGCATAAGTTAGGGCATGAATTTCAGCAGCTGGAACAGGTGGCACAGCCTCTTAGGTTAGCTTACACACACTTGAAGTAGTTGACATCAGTGGTATACACAAAGAGGAAAACACCTTTGCAATTTCCCCTTTGGATACATGCAGACAGTGCTGATGGAAATGCAGTATTTTTGTATCTTGGTATTTCTACTTCCTATCACTGATTTTCTAGCTGGTAGAGAAGTGTGTAGCATCCCAGCATGTTCTCCTGCCTCACGTTAATAAGATATAGAATATTATTTTCAGAGACAGCACCAAATGAACCAATTTTCAATCAGAAGTGTGCAGCAATGGAATTGGGAAATGCAGTTCTGTTAACTAAAAGCTCTCCTTCCTATTTCTTCCCATTAACTGCACTCCAGTTGAGATGGCTGTTACAGTCAAAAGGTGTCTCTTATGTTCCTTTGCTTTTCAGTTTTCACTCAGCTGTTGAGAACAATGAAGCAATGCTGGAAGCAGAAGAGTTAGCTCACTCAGAGATACTCAAAAGAACACTTTGGGACTTTCGGGATCTATTTTAGAATCTTCTGCATTAGACCTCCCAGAATGGATGGGCAAATCCCTCTGGTTTCAGTTCAGCCAGCTTCGTTGAATTTGGCCAAGCAGATTTGCCTCTAACACCCTCAGCATCCTCTATTTTGAGTATGTTCCAATTCTTAAATATGGGTGTTCAACCAGCAATTTGAAATAACAAGCTGCAAACTTATTACTGATTTTATGGTTATAGCAAATGTAAACTTTTGGATTAAAACACAAAGCACATCATGATTCTCCAACCTTCTCTGTAATCTGAGCCAACAGAGAAGGTTGTGTTTCTGGCAACAATCTCCAGCAGCTTCTGAAAGGAAAGATTAACTGAAGCACAAGCACTTAAGCAGTGTTGGTTGTAGTCCTCTTCTCTCCTGTACACTGGTGGTCATAAAAGTGGCGATGGCTGCAGGTTTGTTGGCCATAGGGCAGTGCATGCCAGAGAAGTTTCTGACAAGTGAGAAAAAATGTTATGTAGAGATTTCCTAGGAAATGATGGTAGTTTTTTGGGATGTCATGCTACCTCAGTGAGGCCTGAGGATGGAATAAAGGAACAAAATTTCATACAATGAAACAGTGCATGCTTCTCAGTGTGACTCTTCCAAAGGGAACTCAGCATTGCTTGAAATTCTAATATGGTGATTTTTATTTATTTCAAATTGATGGGGGGACAGTGGGAGATTAAGAAGTGAAAATAAGATGTTTACCTGCAAGCTGGATTGTTCCTCAAAGGATCTGGTTGCAACATTTATTGTCAAAGAGGATATATTGCAGGACCTCCAGCCTTGACTTCTCTGGTACAGAAAATGTTTTACCAGGAGAATTAGCATGATTGCAGTGCACAGAGTACATGTATCTTCATAGAAGTGCCAAAGTCTTCAAAGTCTTCAAATAACTTCTTAATCGGCCCTCCTGAGTGTAAGCTAAGGGAAGAACCAAGACAGCAACAGAAGTATCAGACTGCCCACAGCGTGGCCTGGCTAGGGAGCACCTCTGTGAAGCAGCTGTATAGTCCTTGGTAAGACCACCACACCCTCATTTGGACCTTCTCGGGCTGAGTGGAGCATTACATTTGCTTCACAGCATTTTATCCTTGGTCTCTACTGAGAAAAATAACCAACTTCCCTTTTGTGGATTGGCTTACTCACCATTTCCTCAGCACAGGAGATTCTGCAGCATTATATACTGACTTCCACTGCCTGATATTTGCTGATACATAGAGGATTTAGGGCATTTAAAGGAAATTGTGATCCAGACAGTCTCAGATGTGAGGGGCTTGGCAGCATGCTGGTGTTGCATCTGTATGTCTGTTCCCAAGGGCTGCTGTTCCTGGTAACATTTCATTTGAAGTTTCTTTTTTCTCCTCCCTCTCATGGTAGGAAATGAAAAGCTCAGCCTCCCAGAGAAAAAATGGTGAAGTGTTCTTAAATTTGAATTAACCATGGATACCAGCCTAGGCTAAGAAGGGATAACTCAACAATCTCGGCTGGATAAAAATGGAAGGGAAGAGCTGGTATCTAACTTTTACAAAGCCGCAGACTTGACACCAGGCATGCCGGAGTACTTTAGTTATCTGCGTCTCTGTGTTTCCAGGATTTCACATTTTCCCCATGTTCTCATCCAGGGAATACCCTTAGAAGTTTTACCCTTTTAATTGGTCAGAAAACACAGTTTGCAGGATCCTCTGTTTCCAGATGCTTCCAGGAAAAGATCCTGAATTAGCAGCTCAAGGAATGATTAAATGCAATCAGGCCAGTAAGGCTTGAAAACACACCTCTGGAGGAAGGGAAAAAGCTTAAATATGTACTGAAACTGTTCAGAAGACATAAAAACACTTCAAAATGTTTTAAAACAATTTATTGAAAAACAAATTCTAATAAGAGGTTTGTAATGTATGGAAATGACATCTGGCCTCTGAATCATCTTCCCTTTCCAGTCACAGCTGATGGTACCAACATACTATTCTGTAGTCCTTCAGTATAAAGCCCTCTTGCATATGCAGTCTTTTGCACCATCTTTCCTCTCTTATACATGCAGGTGGGCAGTCTTGAGGCAAGGTGCAAAACACGGACTGGGCACGGCTGTGGACAATGATTATCTGAGTTGTAGAAGTTCAAAATAAATGTTATCAGTCAAAGTAATATTAAATGATATAGCAAAGTCATATATTTCTGGTCTAGCTGTAGTGTAAAGTGGGATCAGAGCTCTATGAAGACCAGGATCTGCTACATGAGTGTACTGTGGAACTTCACCTGATGCTCCTGGTGCTTCCGGCAGATGTTAGATTCAGGCTGCAGGTCCCAGCCCCACAGCTTCCTGAGCCTGCAAGAGGGAGACTGCACCTGCCTGCAGCCTTCACCCACCCACCTGTCTCTGCAATTTGGGCAGTGATCACTAAGCAAACCATAGACTCTTTTGCTCAAATAGGCATATTTACTGCCGTACCTTTCTGCTCACCTCAGCGTGAATAGCTCTCACTAGAAGAGTGTCCAAAAATTGCCAAGAATAATTCCTGTAGTGACCCTTCTGATATCATCCCCTGGTTTGATGTATCTCACAAGCACAAAGCATCAACCCTTTTTTCACACTGTTTTGTGCAGAGGTGTGAAAGAAGTGTACTATTTCTTTTAACAAATGTAGGACTTCCACCTACAGTTTTAGCAGTTAAAATTTTCTACCGGAGTTTTTTTCATTCTTCTTTTTCTTCTCTCTCTTTTTTTGATTTTTGGCAGACTTTTGGGATTCCTCCTTAAACCACAGAATGAGCACAGAGGCGTTATCCCACCCTGCAACAGACTCAGTCCTCAGCACAGCCCAGGCAGACGGTTTGAGATCTACCCAGTGTGTTGCAAGCAGCACAAACCACTGCTCATGTGAAATTGAGCTGTCCATAGGAAATGACAGGCTGTGGTTCGTGAATCCTATTTTTATAGAAGAGTGCAGTAATCCTTTTCCTCCAGACTCACCTCCTCCCAAGGGCGATGCTGTATGCTCCAGCCTGCCCCCTGCCACCACCACATCACCCCGCCGCCCCCCACCACCCCCTCCGCACTCTCACGGGCAGAAGAAGTCTTCCCTGAAGCTCCCACGGGAACCCATGACGGCCTGTGAAGAAACACAGCTTCTTCAGCCACTGGGCAAGAGCATCAAGGAAATGAAAACCGTGGGCGGTGACGGTGAGGAAGGGAAGCAAAGCTGCTCTGACAAGGAACCTTCAGCTGGCAGCCTCAAGAAGGGCCCCCAGCCTGCTGTGCCCCCGCGGAGGCGGCCATCTGAAAGGGCCGCAGAGGAGAGCTGCACGGGTAAGCCTGCAAGTTGCGAAACACCAAAAGGGGAACAGGCTGAAGAAAAACAAGAGCTGGATACACAGAGCAAAGGTAAAAGACTGTTGTGCAGGAAGGCTGCAGAAATGCCTGGAGAGGTTCCTGAGCAGGCTGTGTCGCAGTTTCAAGAGGCAAAGCCCGAACCTGCAGAGAAGGAGTCCATGCCTGAGATACAAAGTGATGCCACTGAGAAAGGAAAGTTGCCTCCTATCCCACCACCCAGAAGGAAGAGGCTTTCCCAGGCACCGCGGGTCCCCAGCTCCTGCCAGTCAAATCACAGAACAGCGGTGCAGCAGCCTGCGGCCACAGCTGAGGCTCAGGGCACGGGCAGCTCAGCATCAGCAGCAGGCGCTGCCACTGGCACCAACGCTGAGACCGAACAGGGATGTGGCCGCAAGTCTGTGAACTCAGCTGAACTGAAGGGCTCGCACTTGTCCCTGGAAGGCCTGGGAGGCAGTGCTGCAGCCCAGACATCAGCATCCGAACCAGACTCCTACTCCACCAGCAGCACCGAGGATGACCTGGAGATGCTGGGTACTTCGTCTACTAAAAAGACACGCTCCATGATCTTGGGCAAGGCCAAGAACAGGCTGTCCTTTGTCAGCCTGTCCAACGTCTTCACAGTCTTTCTGTCTAATGATAGAAAGCTGCAGAAAAAGATAGTGGAGCTGGCACAGGATAAGGACTCATACTTTGGCAACCTGGTGCAAGACTACAGAGTCTATAGTCTGGAGATGATGGCAAAGCAGAGCTCCAGCACAGAGATGTTACAAGAAATCCGAATGATGATGACACAGCTGAAGAGTTACCTAGTGCAGAGCACCGAGCTGAAATCTCTGATAGATCCAGCTGCCTACACGGATGAGCAATTAGGTATGCATTTGTACTTTACTAGTTCTTGGGCAGGATTTGGGAAGGTAAGGAGGGAAATGAGATCATGTGGACACAGGTTCTGCTTTACAGAAATTATGAGGGGGTTGAATTGAAGTCTGCTCTGCTGTTCCAGCATTTGGAGAAGCAGCTCTAAAAACCAGGAGTCCAATGAGGGGGAAAATTCTATTCTGAATGTTTTAAGAGATTGAGTTTAAGTAGAAGAGGTGTGTGTTTGTGTATGTGAGACATATATATGTATGTGGATACGCATATACATGTGTAAAAATATGCATACATATATATAGGTATGGACACATGCATCAAAAGCTATGCTCTGCAAGACAAGCCCTTGCACAGGCCCATTCCCCTGGCCCCCTTCCCCAGGCTTTCTGATGAGGATGGGGAGCTCCTTGCTCATGGTGTACAGAGGACCAGTTGCTATCCCACAAGGAGGGACAGACTGCAACCATTTGGAGTGGCAGGCTAGAGGAATCATTTGATCCAGGACTGCACAACTCAGCCTCGAGGCAGGGAAGAGCTGCCTGTTCCAAGACCTCTGCTGGCCCCAAAAATGCAGCATTCATGTCTCTATGCTAAATACATTAAATAATGCCTTTGGGGAGGAAAAAATAACCCTTTCAGCCATTTGAAGGTGTTTCTTCAATGTGCTGTGAGGAATAATATGCCAATTCCCTCCTTGCTTAAAAGTATGGACTGGCCTAACTTTAACATACGTCCATGTGGGAACATACAAAGGGCTGCAGGATCTCGATCCTCCAGTACAGCCAGAAAAAGCATTCATGCACGTACTCTCACACTCTTTTGACTTAAAACTGTTTACTGAGGACCTGAGAACCAATGCTGAGCTACTTAAGAGCTTCCTAAGCTGGCCCAGAGCAAACTGGGAGCTGGAAGGCCCCCAGCTCAGAACATGGCCAACCACCTGGTCTCGTGGACCAAGGTGCCCAAGATACCTGTCGCTCCATTACATTTTGGGACCCAGAGGTGATCAGCTCCTGGTCTCAGCAAACCCTGCTGGCTTCCTTCTCACCCAGCAAAGGCTTCAGGTGGCTCTGCAGCCTCCCTGGAAGAGTGAACCTGTGCCAGCCTCTGACATATCTCAGAGAGAGGAGCTACTGTTTCACTTCTCATGCACCTCATGGAAGACCTACAATATTTACCCTAGTAACCCCTTTCTTGGAAACAGAGGGATTTTCAGCACAGGGAAGTCTGTCATTAACCTTGTTTAGGGAAGGTGGAAAGGAATCAGAAACAAGTGTCCTTTTTCTGCTTGGCAGAGCTGTGTGAGTGCAAGGATTAGCCCACCTTCACACAGACATGCTTCATTAGATCCTGCACTGCTCATCTGCAGTTCCTTAGCAGGACAGTGCAGCTCTGCCAGCCTAGGAAGTGTCTGTCTGCTCCTGCAGAGGACAGGGATCTCCACCACACGAGACTTACCATTCAAATCCCTCCTGCCTCAAGCTGATTTACTGAAATCCTTAAAATAGTTATGCTTTGTATGCCTAAAAGTTACTGCCTTTCGCTTCATTCCTCTCTGGCTGAGCAGATGGATTTTTTTGGCAGTGACCTGTTTGCCACAGTGCAGGGGTGACACATGATCCTTGCACTCCTGCTGGCCCCACCACTGGTTTCTAGGGTCTGGACAACAGATGAAAGGCACTTTCTCACAGTCTCTCCTGCTTCCTTTTCTCTCCTGCTGAATATTAAGCAAAGGTTCAGCCCACACAACTTCCTCTTCTACAGGTGGCATAAGAGTTGACTTAAATATCAGTAAATTAGAGTCACTTGAGCAGGAAGGGTGAGACCTCTGACCAAATGTTGCTGTCTTTCACTTTGAGCCTTTCCAGGACTTCTGGTGAGTATTAGTAACAAAATGTTTACTTTCTGAAATGTAAGTTCTGTTTCCTGCTTAAAGCTATACAACAGTGCATGAATAACCACATTTTTTTTAGGAATTTTACTGGCACCTCTACTCCAGTGTTGATTATTTACAATGGATTTTTGCATTCTCCCTTCTCCATGCAGACATGATTGCTGAGTCAGCGTTGTACAAATGTGTCCTGAAGCCTTTAAAAGAAGCCATCAATTCTTACTTAAAAGAAATCCACAACAAAGATGGATCTTTACAGCAGCTAAAAGAGAACCAGCTTGTGATACAAAACACAACTACCACTGACCTAGGTGTCACGACCAGTGTGCCTGAAACTGTTGTGCTGGACAAGATCCTTCACAAGTTCACAACTATGCACAAGGCCTATTCCCCAGAAAAGAAGATTGGCATCTTGCTGAAGTCCTGCAAACTCATCTATGACTCCATGTCTCAGGGAAACCCAGGTACAGCACTCCTACTATGATGACACTCCTCACTGGTCCTTCCCCAGGTATCACAGGAGCAGGGTTTATGTTACAGTTAGTGCAGTAATATCCAGAGTGGAGGTAGCTGTAATGGTCAGTGTGTTTGCTAACAGCTCTCCATTGGCTGTGTTCAGATTGGATTGACTAGGTTCTGTGAAATTTTCAGCACTAATAACAGGTACAATATGTTTTCTAGTTCAAGCTCCGTAACTCCAAAGTCTCAGCTTGTAGCAGTTTAATGGCAAACTCTAGGAATGGGTCTTTGAGAAATGTCTCTTGATTTGGCTCTGACAAAGTTTTGCCTAAATTGAGGAGGAGAAGCAGAATAGTGGTGCTGTATGTTACGAATTCGTGATGCTCCAGTAAATTTCAAGAGCCACTGCTAAGTTTCTCTGGTGTGAGGAAGCCTGTACTTAGACTTGAGGCCAACCACTAAATGCACATGGTAAGCCCTTATCCTGCAGACAGGATGCATTTTTGCAGATAGACCAGTAAACCCCATCCTCTAGGAGCTTGCCTTGTCAATTTAGGAACTTTCTTTATATACTGGGGAGTGGATTACAAGCCGTGCACACATTTGGAGACTAGCCCTGTGCTCATTTGCAATGACCTGCAGTTGTTCAAGAAGTTAAGAGTCTCCAAAGATGTTTGTAGCTGCTCTGCTTTATTTCCCACTGCCAACAGCCATGAGGCATTCACACAGGAGCAGTGTCTCTTTTGAGCCTCATCTCGGTGTTCTCACTTGGACAGAATGCAGCAGAATTCAACAACCCATCTAGACATGTGAACAGCAGAGCAGGAAGCCACAGCAGGGCTGAGCCTATGCTGCAGAGTGGACAGGATCTCTGACTGCCTTCCCATCCTATGAGAAGATTTGGACACCCATAGGGGAATTTGCAGTAACTCTATTAAAACAGCTGTGTTACTTTAAGTTTGAAAGAATATCAGATGGAGTTCTAAGGTTCAAATACCACATTAAAACCCACCCAGTGGGTTAATGGTGTCCTTCTGATGCTGGTGGTATATTTTGTCACACCTCAGCTAGCTCAGAGTTGAAATTTCCCTGTTGCAGGAAATACTATTGTGTCACCTTATGCAGAAGAAATTATGGGCCAGTGAACTCATTAAAAACCCTAAAAGTTCAAAATGTTTGGCATTCAAGAAATCAGGTTATTTCATTGTGATTTGCTGTTTTCCCCAAAGCATTTCATTTTGGCCATCTCAGCTGTTTTCTTATGTCAAATACTGCTGTGAGTAGGATGCAGTTCAGAAGCCAAATTCTCCCCTTTGCAGCCAGTTCCCTACCCAGCATATATGACCATTATTGCACATCAGCATGCAGTCAGAAGGAAACTGGCCTAGCACTGGGGATATGTACTCCTGTGAATTTAGCATCCAGAAGAGGAGGAATGCTATGGTCTAAGACATAGCGGCCACAACACTCAGAGACAAATACAGTGAGACATCCTGTAGGCACAGTTAGAAGTAAAACGCATGAAACACCCTAGATCACACGCATTACTTCAGTTTTCCACCTGGCAAAGACAAATACTTAGTAAACTGAAATATTTTTTCTGATGAAAGATTCCCAGTCGTTGCTGTGCAGAAGTGTGCTGCGGGCTGCTCAGGCAAGATTTCAGCATGTAGTTCCTTCCTCTGACTGCTTCGGAAGCAGCAACACAGGGCACCTTTTGCTTTCAGCAGCCCCAGGACAGTGTATTGCTCTTTGCACCGGAAGAGTAGAGGCCACACTCTGTTTCCTGTGCAATTGCCTGTTCTTCTTTTAGCTCCTTTTACTCACTGCTGAATTGGTGAAGTCTCTCCTCTTCCAAGGTCAGCGCATGCAGAACACAAAACCAATCTTTCCCTCTGCTACAGAATCTCTGTCAGAAAAATTATCTGTTCAATAACACTGTAAGTACATATGTTGTCTTGTTTAATTTGCAACTGGAAAGTTCAGGACAGGTCTTTGTCCACTTTAGGCTGACTGCAGAACAAGCTGACCTGAAAATATGGCTTCATATCTCAAAAAAAAAAAAAAGCACAAATACAATCTAATCAAACACTTTTTTTTTTCAGACACAAGATTTTTAACATATTGGAATCCATGTACATTAGTTGAGGTTCAGGGGTATCCAATTGGTACCAAGTTTTCTTTAAAACTGAGGATAGTCAGAACTATGTGTACCTATGGCAGTGCCCACCTTTGTACTATTGCAAGAGTTGTGAAACTTTGAAGTCAGCCTTGATTGGCTCCATGGTGATCCCACTGTTTTGAGAAAAGAGGAATTTGCTGGCTTGGTTGTCAGAATTATAATAGAAGAATGCAATTTAGATCATATGACAAAATATGTCTGATAAAGTGGCTGTGATCATTTATGTTAGATACATAGACTATGAGCTGAATGGGTCAAATTCTCAACTGGCACAATGCAGCATTTCTCCTTCAAGTTGAAAGCAATCTACTTGTGGATCTGATTCATCACCAGGAATCGAGAAGGCAGGTTCACGGTTATTGTCAGTACACCTTTCTTCTAAGACTCTTCTAAGACCTCTGAGTACAACCACAAGATTTAGATGTATGTTGGAGCAGGACTCATCTCCAGTTATATCTAGCTGTAGGTGGCACAGATGGGTATCACATACAGCTTCTCGTTATAAACCACAGAGACTTAGGAGGTGGAGTTCAGTTGATTCATCTGGTGAGAGGTAGGAGTCTGTTTTAGAGTGAGATGATTCACAGCTTCTCTGATGATATTGATTAGTTTATCACTGGCTATAAAAGGAGTTTAGGGATAGTTTTCAGGTGTTCATGTGTATAGTGTAGGCTGTGGTGTTATTAATGAATCCTCCCAGAAGGGACAATTATGATAGTACTGCAGTGTCTCACACAGCTCTTCCAAGTTCTGGAAAAATTTAAATAATAGCAGCATATGTTTTCAAAATGCAACCTACAACTTAAAGACATGTAACCTTCCTGCTAAAATTACTAGAAGTAATTAGGTAGAATGACATACTTTAAAATAACAGAAAGAGGGTTTGGAATCCCTTTGCAGATTGACTAGCATTTCTTGCTGCTAGAAGAATTAAGAGGTGGGACTCAGAGGGTGCTGTAAGCTTCCGACAGTCTGACTGCTCCAACATCTCAAAGGCATAGTCTGGTAACCACAGGTAGAGCTTGGTGCATATGTCATTTATATAGAAACACTATAATCAGTTGCAGAAAGAGCTGCTTCTTGTTTATCTTCCAGAAATAACATTCCTTAGGCAAAATGTCAAAGGTGTTTTGTATGGTAGAAATCTCTATTTTTTGCTGTATCAAACACACAAGTGACACTTGTGGAGTCATAACGAGATGCAAATTTGCAATATATGCAGTGGGTACTGGCAGTGTGTGAGCAGAGAAAACCAAACACGGGAATGCTCTAAACATGAGTCGGAAGCTTGAAAAGTGGGGAGGCTACTTTATGAAGAGATTCAAGGAGAATGAGCAGAGGAACAATTTTCTTTCTGCAGCATTTTAAAAAAATATGGACTACTTCAGATTATGAAGTTTCATTGGTAGAGTATCTTTGAATTGCACAGAGTGGGCCTATATGGTTCTAAAACTGTTCCATACTATGAATGGTGTCGGCAAGGTGACTGGCCCCAAAACATCTGATTTAGTAATTTCTATTTGCATGGTTTTGAATGGTTAATAGATATGCTTCTTTTGGAAGAATAGATAGGATAAATATATATTCCACTGAAATCTTGCTGTTCCCTAGATTTTGGGATGAAATTTACCACCCTCTGCAGAACTGAGCAGCTGGATATTGGTTGTCCCGATGTGCTCCCATATGTTGACAAAGCTGACAAAGGCATGGACAGCAGTGTGTCTTCAGTAGGATAGCTAAACTGGCCTCAGTCAGTGTTGCACCAATGCTAGAAGCTGTTAAAACTGCATCCGAGCAATCCCACTCTTCGTTATCAGATCTCACTTCTCAAAAGTAATATAAAGTTATACATAAAGGTATCACTTTGTTATTTTTAGAAAGAGGATACTTCTATTTAATTTACTATTAATGAAGGCTAGTAGACTAAAGATTATTTCTTTCTTCTGGCTAGTGCAATTCCTGCATTTGAATTAAAGAGTACATTCGAGTTTTTTGAGGAAAATGAATTTATTTGATCTGTAAAACATGTTTTTGAAATGGATTCATGCAGTCCATATGTATTAACTCTCTTAATTAACTGGACTGTAAATCAAACCTTGCTGAAGTAGTATATGATGGATAAGAGACATCAAAATGCTAGTGAGTAGAAGGATGGTTACTTTCTTTTATGATATTGAAGAAATCCCAGTTGACATTTCTGTGCCTCAGGTTTCTCAGCTATAAATGGAGACTAGAATTCATATTTCTTGAACAGCTGCTGCTAGACATCATTCCAGTGGTTGTAAACTACTAGAACAAGATGAGGAGCATCATCGCTGTGTGCTGGTTGTCAGAATAACCACAGAGGGAGAAGAAATACATGAATGTGCTAGAAGAGGCTGCAATTTCTTTATGGAGGCTTGGGCAAAATTCCAGTTGCTTTAAATTGAGTATTTAATTAATATCCATTCCATTCAAACACTGCATCGCAGCCAGGAGCTGAAGTGGTATTTGCTTTGATATAAACATAATAGGATGGGCTTGTGGCAGAGGAGAAGGCTTATTTTAAGCTTCTTATAGATATTAATGAAATAAATGTTCCCTGATCCTGCAGGAAAGATGGGAAAAAAACCCAAGCAAGTCCTATCTGGAGTAGGACAACACCACCTTGAACAAACAAGCTCAGTCCCAATGCTGCTGAGACCAGTGGCAGGGTCAGAGCTAGTTTTAACTCTGTCACCTGCAAACTTACTGCTCTGTGAGACCACAGACTGAGCTGGGCATGCAAAACTGCAGGCTTGACTCTGAGTCAGACTGGAAGTGGAGCCTGCAGAGAGCAGCCCTGCTGCAGCTGCAGGGTGAGCAGTGGTTAGGGCCAGCAGTGCCATCACAGTGCTGTTCTGGTGCTGGGGACAGTTGGGCTGCAGGACGCTGAACAGCAACCACTGCTTTGGTGTCTTGGTTCATGAGGGTTGTTTCATGTATCTTTGTGCCTCCTGCTTTTGGTTATATTTGAGCTGCTGACAGAACCTGTACCCCCACGAAGGGGCTGAGATTCAGGGCATCTCCAGGCTGTCCTGAGTCTGCCTGCTGAGCATGTTCAAGCTACAGCCTGTGCCCATGGAAACAGCAGAAGTTTGTAGCAACACATGGATTCAGAATTAGATCCTGGATGGCAGCTCTGCTACTTTGCTTCTGCTGATGTTAACTTTAGCTACAGACAAATATATTTAAGAATCAGGCTTCATACAAACAGAAGTCGATTAAAACAATGTCTTTATGCAGTTTATGAGCAGACGAAGAAACAGTATTCTTTCTATTACTGCATTAGACACCCTTAAGTGAGAAGGCAGTGGAAAATAATGGACTTGGTGCCTGCTTGTAAATAAAACCCTTTCTCAGCCAACAAAAGAGAAATAGAGAGATTCTGCAGACATTCTTGAAAAGTGTTCTCTAACTTTCATTTCTGCTGACAGTAAAACCAACTTGGTTGGGGATGCCAAGTTGGTAGATTCCAAATTGCTGTTTCTGCTCAGCGACGGACAAGCAGTCCGTTGGATGTTTGTTGATCTCTTTCACTGATTTTAAAAACAATCAAACTAACAAAAACAACAAGGTAGCAGTTTTTTTGTTTGTTTTTCCTAATAGATAGGAGTTCATGTTGTGAACTGGCAACTTCTTTGGATGTAGTAGGCACAACATGGGTTGGTCATGGAGATGAAATGCTAGGGAAGATAAAATTCTGCTGTGGGAACTGCACTGAAATCCTCTCCTGGCTTTCAGGAAATCAGGAGTACAGGATCACACCACTCATCAATAACTTTAAAGAAAAAGAGCCATGCATGTTCTGTGGTATTTCATCTTTCTTTACACTATGTCTATACAGAATTATCTGTTGGCATTTGATTTACTGAGCTCAAAAGGAAAATAGGGCTTTTCTCAGTGCAGTTTTGCAGTATGCTTTCATGTCCCAGTTGAGTGTTTTGCTACACAACACTAAATAGCTGTAATACTAAGCTGCTTCTATTGTGTCAGTATGTGACAGTAGCGAATTGGAGCCTTCACAGAGCTGAGGCTTTCAGATATACAAGCTGAAACAACAGCAGAGAAATAAAATGTCCCTCTAGATGTTAATGAAATAATAGGGATCTTTTATAGCTAAGATGAAGACTTGGGGCCATGTTGTTTAACTGAAGATAGCCATAATAGAACAAACAGAACTGAAAGAGTTAATCCAGCTTTCATTAAATAAATTGTGCTGTGGTGTGTGCAGTCCCTGTTAGATACAGATTGAATGACAGATCTGAGAATCTCTCATCCTCCTAACACTTTCTTTTAACTGGATCAACTTTCTGTTCTCTACATATATTACTGTGTTTATTTCAAAGCCATGCTATTTTTTTTTTTTAAATCAGAGGTTAAGCTCATGTTTATTTGAGGCTTCAAAAGAATATCTTTCTTTGCCAATAGAGAATCTGTATCAGCTATGAATGACAAAAAAGGAAAGCTGACTCATGGCAAAGATTTGAAATAAGTCAGTGGGAACATTTGAGAAACGGGAATTCATTCCCCAGCATGGAAGGGCATGTGGACTAGGGGCCAAAAATGGCCAGAGCATAACTTCACTGCAGCTACACCAACGACAGTTCTTATTTTTTGAAATAAGGCAAGCAGTTCTCAAATGTGACGCACCTAATGAGTTCCAAATTGATGAAACCAGCGCTTCAGATGAGGAAAACTGCCCACAGTCTGAGGGAAAACATTCAGAATGAAAGTATGGTTAAGGTTAAGAAGAATCATCAACCCTGACTGCTGGGAAGACAGGCTTGTTAAGAAACTTGGTACTACATGTTGCCCATGATAAATTTGTGACATGTTGGTAGGAAATGAAAGCGTCGTCATCATCTTTGCATGAAAGTATCTTTTAAATAAGGAAATTTGTCATCGTGCTCTTTGCAGTTTATATAGTAAATCTTCTGTTTGGGTTCTAATTTAAGTAGTAAATGTTTATAATTATAATGATTAATATGTGTGCTTTTTTGTCCTCAGAGCTTTTACTGATTACTTGTAAGGTCACTTTCTTGACTTTATTGTTTCAAGCACAGGGAATCTTGAGCCCATGAGGATCTGTTTCTGTAGCACTTGTTGAGCACCAAGACTACTCTAGTCTTTGTGGAAGGGATTTTTTTTTCCCAGCTAGACACTGTGGCTGGAAAGAAGCTTTCTTTTAGTTTCTAACTTGGAGACTTTTAGTTAAGAACACATAGTGCAATGATTTGCCTTGTGAAAAATTTGAATATGTGTGTTAGGAGTATATATTCTTTTAGGCTTGCTCTACATGTTGGACTGAAGAGTTAAAAAAAGAAAAAAGGGGGAATCTGACTCAATGTTTTTTATAACTTACTTTTTTATCATTTTTTCTTTGCTTCTGCTTTTGAACTTTAACTCTTGAGATAACTTAAGTGAAAGTCAAAGACATGCTGCCTGATAAGCTGTTGTGTTGAGATGTGCCTTTTTGGTGAGTTTATTGGGACCGTTCTGTGTTTCTCTTTGCTCAGGTAAGCCTTATGGTGCAGATGACTTCCTCCCTGTGCTCATGTATGTATTGGCCCGCAGCAACCTGACTGAAGTCCTTCTGAATGTAGAGTATATGATGGAGCTCATGGACCCTGCTCTGCAGCTAGGTGAAGGTAGAGTACCGTATTTGCTCCTTGGATATTCTCTTCGTAAATCACTATTTACCCCACTTTAATGTTGTGAAGACAGGGCAGCAAGGCTCTGGCTAGATTTTGTGGATGAGCTTTGGCCAAGCCTTCCAAATCTGAAGCTTTAAAATAAGTGTTAAACACTTCAATGCAGTGACCTTTGACAGCAGCTAAAAAAGCAAGGGCCCAGTACAAATGAGTTCTGATGGATTAGTAACCTAAACAGGGACATCTAGTGTTCTGTGGCTGTAAGGCTGGAAAGTCAAAGGGTCTTTGCCTAAAACTAAACTTCTGCAATGCATTCTTTTACTTTTATTTATTCCAATGAGAAAAATGAATAGTTCTTACACTGCGCTGTATGCCTTGGGCTATACTTGATTCTCAGACCTTGTATGTGAGTAGAGTGGCTTGTTTGACTGTGTTCTCTGGCTGAGTACCACAGTGAGGCAGAGAAAGGAAAGTAAGTTCAGAGAGAAGTATCAGTTTTGGTTGTGGATAAAGAGCTCTGTTATTAAAGGGGTAAATATCTGTGGGCCTTTTGCTTCTCAAGTACAGCCTGGGAAGCAAATGTTACTACAGACAGGATTATGCACTCTTAATTAGAATTAGAGATAATTTTTCACTAAGTAGTCACTAAATCAATAAAAAGAGTTTTGTTTTAGAATTTGTTTTGGTAAGTACTGAATAGTAGAAAGGAGTCCTGGACAAACAAGGGCAGACTAATTTGATTTATATTAAATGGAACTTAAATCTGTAGCTAAAGAACACGTACCCAGCATGGTGCAGAGGGGAGCAAAGAGAAGGAGCAGTAGCAATACAATTGCATTAGTGAAGGATTTCTGCACAGACTGATGTTCCTGCTGGAAAAAAAAAAAAAAAATTGTTAGCAGAAAAAATGTTGGCATAAGCATAGCACTTAGCTGACATAATGAGATGTTTTTGGTAACTGCACTGCCCACAGGTTCTTCATTTCCAAAGGGCATGCTACCAAGCTGGTTACTGAAGTCAGCAGGATTGAGGAGCTCAGGAAATCAAAGGCAGAGCTTGCTGGAAGTTCTTTCAAGTCAAAGATGCAAAGCCTATATGAAATGTATACTGCAGTCGAAGGGAAAAATTGGTAGGGAAGTTTCAGATCACACTGGCTGAGTAATCACTTCAGAAAGGAGACTGAGGGTAAATGCAGATACAAGAGATGGAAAAATAAAGAATAGCTCTGTGAAGAAAGTTCAGAGATCGTGAAGCACAGTGCTAAAATGCTTGAATTCAGTATGTGCCTTTCAATGTTAAATGATAACAAGTGATTTGGGCACAGAAATGAAACTAAATAAAAGAAAAGCAGAAGGCAGAAAACTGTCAGACTAATATATAAAATCACTTCAGTCTGGCTTCCACATTAAAAAATTACTTTTGAATGTATTTTACTAAGAGCAGTGAGTACTGTTTGGGCGGTGTGCCGGCGCCATCCAGAGGCAGCTGCAATTATTACAAAACATTAATAACTGCCACCCAGCTTATTGAATACTTTGTTCAGCTCTCCTACAGCTGGGATGAGCGGAGAAGCAGCAGGAGGCTGCAGAGAGGCAGAGGTGGTGGGCCTGGTCCAACATGGGGCCAACAGGTGACACGAGCACCAGCGGCTCCCTGAGGCCTCTTCCTTTTGAGCCAGACTTCAGGCTTTTACTGCTTCATCCCCTCTTTGGTTTACTAAGATTTATCCCACTTAACTTTGAAGAATCCAGGCATTTGTCTTATCCAGACGTCTGCGTTTGTGCACAGGGTGACTTGTCCTTGTAGGTCCAAGACCTCTTTTAACATCACTGATCCCACAGAGGACCTGGCTTTAAACATTTCTGCAGGGTAGCTGAAGTCAGGGTGGAAATGTAAGCTTTTTTCTACAGAACACACTGGGATTGTCACTACTTCCTTGTGTTATGGAGAACGCATCTACCACCTCATCAGCCTGGACAGCTGACATGTCTGTGACGCAGAACAGGGTGGAAAACATGGTGGTCATTAGGTTTCCTTTCTCTTGCACTAACACCAGAAGCCCTGCACTCCCTGAGGTGAGGCATGGGCGGTGCAAGTGTTGGACAGTTGCCTCTGCATAGGCACAGGTAGGATGGAAATGGAATTGAACGGCCCTGCAGCGTGATGTTCATGCAAGAGCTTTTCTTTTTGCAGGCTCCTATTATTTAACCACCACCTACGGGGCCCTGGAGCACATCAAGAACTACGACAAAATCACTGTCACACGGCAGCTGAGCGTGGAGGTGCAGGACTCCATTCACCGCTGGGAGCGGCGGAGGACGCTGAACAAGGCCCGGGCTTCTCGCTCATCAGTGCAGGTACCGCCTTGTGTTACTGGGAGGGAAACAGCTGGCAGATGGATGGGCTCTGTCCATACTTACTTGTTTTAAATATGATAATTATTTTAAGACAAAACCAACTCAAATTACTATTAAAAAAGAGAGTGCATAATATGCAGGCTTGTTAGCTGTGAGGTGCTCACTGTGTGTGGGTCTGTGAAGGTATCCCCATGCACTGGTGGTTGGGTGCTACGATCCTCCAACAGTGGTGAGACAGGAGACAGGACCACAGTGCCATGTCAGCCCCATGGCCTGCGATCAAATCTGTACCCACAGAGAGGCAGCAAAGGCCACCTCAGAGACTTTACAGTGCAAAGCTCAACATTGTGAGCACTGAGGTGAAAACCAGGGGAAAAACTTCTGAGTGGGAGACATGGTCCAAATAGCCACATAGAAGCATGATGTTTGTTAACCTTTACATATTGCAGTCAAAACTGTCCCTAATGTTCTCAGAATTACATGGATATTTGATGTGTCCCATCCATCAGTCATCCATCTCTGAGTGCTTCTCTAGCAGTAGACTGCCATAGCAACTACTTAGCACAATAGCTCAGCAAGCAAATTTAGATTCCCACAGCTTCCAGCAATAAAAGTGTTGCTTTCCATCCCTCTGAATGATGGAAAATATGCAAGTTCATTCTGGTGGAGGTAACTAACTTCTTGGCCGTGTGCCCTGCACCCCCTACTGGCTGCCTCACTGATCTGCAGATATACTCTTTAAAAGCAGCCTGGAGTCCACATATTTGGCAAATATGTAGGATTTAAACAGTCTAACAGTCTGCAGCTTTCTCACTTTTTCCGGGAAACCTGAGTATATTCAGATAGAAATTGCTTGGAATTTTTTGAACTTCACAGATACAGCCCTCCCTGGCTAAATGCTTTCTAGATTCTGTTCCTCAAATGTTCAGCAAGAGGAAAGTCATCCCAATAGTTCTCAATCCCTGAAACAGCGTACAAGCAAATAAGCCTCCTCAGCACATCTGCTGTTTCCTTCCTGATGAAAGGAAGTTTGGAGGACACTCTCAAATATGAGCATTGAAGAATGGTTGGATATTTGGGAGTGCTTAGGAGTTGTGTTTAGCTTGAGATTTGGGGCTTGATTTTTCCTCTTTTGGTCCTCAAGTCACTGTGCTAGCTGCAAGATCTATCCTCATGTTTCTCTTCAGGACTTCATCTCCATTTCCTTCCTGGAGATTGGTGCTCAGTCAAGGACACTTGCCTCACGAAATGATACCACGACTGAGCAGCTGTGCCAGCAGTGTGCCGAAAAGTTTGAAGTCTCCCATCCCAAGATCTATAGACTCTTTGTTTATGTCGATGGCCAGTGGCTGCAGCTGGACAAAGAGGCCCTCCCTCACCGTATCAAAGCTTCACTGCTGAAGAGTGAAAACAAAAAAGATTTCCATTTTATTTATAAACCAATAGAGTATGAAAATCCACCAGTTCCAATTGTCAGAGAGACTGACTTTTCCTAAAGGTCATGCTACTCTTCTGTTGAGTTTGCTGTCATCCTGAAAGGGCTGGATAGCTTATTTTGTGAGATCCTCTGGCAGCTGCAGATCTTAGGTCACTGGAGCTTGGCCTTCACCACAGGGCAGGTGTGCTAATTGTAGATGCTGTCTGAATATAGGGCATTTCTCAGAGAAGTTCAAAAATGAGCATTCAGGAGAACAATATCCTTTGGAAAACTTGAAGTATCAAACCACAGAACCTCCTGCTGGCAATGCCAACATTGCAGAATGTAAATGGACAGAGGAGAATGATCTCAGAGATCTTGTGGAAAAGCGGACATTTACTCCATCATAAATGATGGCCGGTGCAGATCACCTCATTGCACAGGGCCTTTGAAGGGTCTGCACACACCTCAGTGCTGTTAGGAGGTAAGACTACATTTCCACCTAACATCTGTCAATGTTTGATTAAAAAGAGTATTGGCTGATGTATACAGTGGCACAAGATTGCCACCTATAGCAGAACTCCTTCTCTGTCTTGATGTCTACAACACAAAATTGCCTTTGAAATCCAAATATTCACCAACCATGCAAGAAGATTCCATACATTGACAAAGAAAATATTTTCTGCCATTTATTTGTCACTAAAGTCAGGTGACATAGGCATTTTCATCAATGTATTTTTCTTAAAGATTGGAAGTGTTCACCATCAATGTACAGCTGTTTAAATGACATTAGTTGTATGATAGTGTCTGTTTAATTGTATATTTATTTCTATGTGTGATATGGTGCAATTGTTTTAAAATAAGAATTTGTAAAGAACTTAATAATTTTCCCAATGTAGCAAAGTAGATTAAAATTTGAAGTCAAAGAGCAAGAATAAAATACCGAGCTGTGATTTTCTCTAGTGTTTTCGTATCTGCATGTCCCACCAGATTGTTACTTCAAGCAGTTCAGGCATTTGAGACAGAATTTGCTAATTCTCCTCTCTCTCTACCTCTACTTTCAGTCATTCAGTCACTGCAAATTTAAATTTCCCTGCAACCTGAATTTCTACACAATAAACTAAAACATTGGAAAAAACACGTTCTGTGAAATTAGCAAGCAACTTTTCAGTACTGGATAATGACAGCAGAGCCTTAATTGCAAAATGGATCTTTGTCTTCTGGGTGCCTTCCTTCAGGCAAGATTCCACTGCCAATGTAGCCTCCACTGCAGACACAAACATGGGATCAGGCCTAGCAAAGCTCTAGACTAGACTCTAGAATAGAAAGGTGGTCATGTTTTACTGTGGGTTTTGCTCAAAGCTGCTGTTGTTTCCACTCATTAACATTCAGAAACAGAACTGGGACATGTTGGACCAAGTTGCTTGAGCGTCCAAAAGGAAAATGACAGTGCATGTGGCTGGTCATGCTATCAGTCTCTGTGGCTTGAAATGTCCATGTCTATGTGCATGAGCCATCGCGTGCAATGGCCAAATGTGCATTACGATTCCAGACCATCTGTGCATCTGCCAGCCTGGGCTGCGTGTGTATGTTGTTGGGAAGGGATGACAACGAAGAATAAGGAACAGTGAATAGCAGCAGTCTCAGTTTTGAGGCCATCACATGCAGAGCTTGTGCTGGCATGACACCAGCAGGGAACTGACTCCACATTTCTGGTTATTCGGTCATTTATACTCATATGCAGCTGTCAGCACTCCTGCCATCCCCCTGGGCTGTCCATCTGCAGGGTCCTGTGCTGAAACCAAGGAATTAAGATAGGACTGATCTTCTGCTGGATATTTCAGGGGAGAGACCGGACTTGGCAGCAGAAAGGAATGAGCAACATAGTTATGCAAGGAAGAGCTCCAGGCACCTGACAGCATCTTGGGGAGGCCATCAGCCACAGGCCCTGGGGCGAGGGCACACCACAAGTTGTATGGCTGAGCAGCCAAGCACGAGAAAACTCTGCTGGTGCCAAACCACCATAAGGCAAACAGTCCTGAAGTCAGAACTGCCAGAGAGGAGAGGAGAGGAAGTAGAGAGAGAGGGAGAGGAAGAAAGCTTTTACAAAGGCCTTTACAAAAGCCTGCAAAACTTTCATCTGGCATTACAGCTGAAAAGGTCAAAGTAGATTTACAAAGACGTCCATGGACTACTCCCCTCTCCTCTGAATTCAAGGGATTAATCTTTTTAATGCAAGTTACTGTGCCTGGCAGTGAGCTGCCTGGATGGAAGTCCCCGTGCTAGAGCTCAGAGCTGAGGAGGGTCTCCCAGGCACCAGGCCTGGTTGAGCGTATCATGTAGAGAAGGTCAGCATGTCCTCCCTATGGCTGCTGGTACGTGGAATCTCTCAGCACTTTGAACTGGTGTCTGACATTCAGTCAGTAAGAAAAAAAAATGTTACAGATGAAATCTGTAACACTTTTAAATACTCCTTAGACTTTGTTCATTGGCTTTGTCATGGGGTATCGTCACGCTACAGACCAACCAGTTAAAGAGGTACAGTCAGTCTGGAGATCTGTGGCCTCCTCTGGTTAGTCAAGACGGTCACACCGTGACTCATGCCCTGGACCTCACATGAGAAGTCAGCAGACAAGCATTTCAGAAGACTTTGACCAAGTATAGTTGTGTAATCTGGCCAAGGTCTCCTCAAACAGTTATTTCCACAGAAATATTGTGCAACAATCACTCATCTATGCATAAGCAAAGGATCCTAGTGTGAGAGAGAAGATATGCTGAACCTAGCAACAGCTCTCAAGAAAAAAGAAAAAACAAACAGCAAAGCCCAAGTGGCCACTTTGTGCCCAGAGCTGGCCTAGCGCCACACAGTGCCAGTGATGAAATCTGTCAATAATTCACTAAAATAATGACACTGAGAGGTCAAGTATGACCTAAAATAAAAGTCATTGAAACTAAAAGCAGTTTTCCTGCCGAATTCAGGAGCTTTGGGCATCAGCATGCATCATTCACCAACCTGATAGGTACTTTGATAGGTACTTTGCACAGGACTCTATTTTCCATCAGGAGTGACTCAGGATGGGGGGGCCACCCAGCCCAACCCCTGCTGACAGCACTGCTGCCCCCAGGACAGCTCAGCCTTGTCCTTTCTGTGCTGCAGGTCCCAGGGCTGAAGATTATGCAGACCTTCAGAAGACCTGCTCCAGTATTTCAACCACATGCACTGTGAAAAATATGTTCCTTGTCCTCAGCTGGGGTAAAACCCCACTTGTCCCACTAGGTTCCCTCCTGGCACTCTTTCCAAGGTCAGGGCTAAACACAACTATTCTGCACAACACACTCTGACCCGTTCTGGTAGATGATAACTTACTGGGAACGAGCAGCCTTACTTATTTTTAAGTAGTTATTTCTACATTCAGTGTTCTAGGAATTATAGTCTGTGCAAGTATGTGCCTGAAGGAAGAGTAAGGGTGTTTGTGCTTGCACAGTGCACCACAAACTACTCTTTAAGATTGACCTTGCACAATCCTAAAATCATCTTCTAATCAGGTTCTACCACTATCTCAAAATAAAGAGCCTGCCATACAGGCATTAAGCCAACGTGATGCTATTTGGAGACCTTAAAATAAATGTATTGATCAGTGCAGGTGAAGGTTGTGGGTCTTTTCATTCTGCAGAGTTGTTTCCTGTGTGACTGCACTGTGGACAGATATCTCCACATTTCAGCTTTGCATCCTCACAGCTGCAAGTGCCTGCAGGAGAACATGAACAAATCTGTGCTAACAGTTGGTTTTTCATTTAGCAATTACTCGTTGAAGTCTACTCAGCTTAGTTGGAGTCTCTCGACTGTAGAGTGATGTAGAGTATTTGTGAAGAACCTGAGGGGCTTTTCTTTTCCTTTTACATTCTATACATGAAAAACCAAAAGACAAAAAGCATGCCTGAATGCTGTCTTGTTTAGCCTTCTTTCTGTTTTCAGGAGAACATCTGCAACACATTAATACATTCCAAAATTTCACAACCTCTTATTTATAGATCTCCATCTATTTACAATTGAAAGGAAACCAGCTACATTAAAAAAAAAAAAAAAAAAAAAAAAAAAAAAAAAAAGTATCTGAACTTTCAATACCCTCAAGGCATAAACTTGAATTTCTTGATTGAGTAAAGTTGTGTTTCACAGCTTTTTACCTTGCCCTACCCATTCTGAAGCTAATTGTGTTCTCAATCACAGCTGAAAGTGCTAATGCTCTCAGGTTTGATTCTTCTTAAGGTAAATGAAAGTTCAGGTTTAGCTCCTTTTCCTTTTAGCTCCTTGGAGTAGACCTACTCCAAATTCTCACTATCTTGCAGATCCATGATTAATTTTACCCTGTGTTTTTTCTTTTCTCATAAGCATGAGATAATTTTGCTTATTTATTTTACATCTTGGGAAGATCTCTGAAGTATTTCTGCATCCTGTCTTCATGTGTAAAAAGGTATGGATAATCTAAGACCATTTGGAAGCACCTCATAGCTTCTAATTTGCTTCCCTGTTTGTTGTTTATTGAATCATCTCTAAGGAATACCCCTTTCAATATGATCTGGGGGTTTTGCATTTCTTTTTTATTGTTGGTCTTGTTTGATACAGTCTGTTTTATAAAACCTTTATGGAGGTTAAATAACCACTTAATGCACTGTTGTGAAGGAATTAGCTCTCAATTCATTTCAAGAAAAGAGACACTTAAGCTGTATTGCCCAGTAGGTTGATGAAATTATCAACTTTATTCACAGACAATTCCTGAACTCTGTGACTTCCCACACGTTTGTGTGTACACACATTTAATTATAGCATACTGGTGCTAAATTTACAGCATTAGATACTTGTGTTTTTTCTTTGGAAAACAGTGTTTTCTACCCAAAAAGGTTTTTTACTGTTCACATTTGAACTGTGCAGTTAACATCTGATAGTTCTTGAACACAACAATTTGCTTCTTTAAACTGTTAAGGAGTTAAAGCTTAAAAAACAAACTTTGGTTTCTTCACTCTTCAACCAATCTGCAAGTTAGTCACTGTCATAGCATTCATTATCATTTAAAGAAAAAAGAAAAAAAAAAAGGTAATGGTTAGCAATGCTATAATTTTTCATTTCCAGAATCTGAGTCAATATTTAAATTTAGCACACATTCTGGTGATGCTATGTAGTGTTCACCCAGAGATTCCTATCTTGAAAGCTCCATGTGGTCTAATAAAATGGTTCTGCCAAACCATTGGGCTGTTGGCAGGTGGGAATGGGGAGACAGTGCTGGCAAGTGATGTAAGACTGCTGGGCAGGTCCCGCAGCTCCTAGCACAGCTTCAGCACTGGTTGACTCTTCATGTTGCATGCACAGAAAGTCTGGATTATTTCAGTTAAGAAAAATTATCACTTGCAGTAAGGGTTACATTAGACTACTGTTTCCATCAATATCCACGGCACACTTGATCCATGGCCAAGAATATTCTGCAATAGAGAACAATAACAGTAAGAAAATTTTCGGGTTCATTCTTCTCAACGTTTTCCAAACTGACTGTAGTGGGATGCCAACAGGAGTACATGCCACCAGGACTACACAAAGCAGCTATTCACCAACTGTGTTGTATGTTCATTCTGCCCAAGCTATTAGTCCTTCCTCGCTCTTCTGCTTGTGTGTCTCACAAGCTAGGATCCCATCCTCTCCCATGAACTACACCCTCGTAAGTCAGAATTCCAAAGCAATACTTCCTTCTCCTGACCACAGCACTTTAGCCTGGACCCTTATTTTCCTGTTTTCCCACCACGTGCTTATGGATGAGAACACAGAAGTGCTGTGGTCTGAGTCAGCAGCTGAGGGCACAGGAGAAAACAAAGCAATTTCTAACTTTGCTTCAGTGTGACATTATACAGAAGTTACAGAACAACATGTCTGTCCTATAACACTAATGTGTCGTGCTGTTTTGAAGCTATGCTCTGCAGGGGGATCCTCTGACAGGCTTTAATTTTACCAACAAGCAAATTAAAGACTTGGAGAACTGGATACTTATGAGAGGGAGGGACTAAACAGGATGTGTTTTCCAGAATTTGCATGTATGGCTTTAGAGTTGGAACTGTACTAACAAAGTGGTCAACAGAGGAGAAGAACAATTGAGATGCTTGTAGTGTTAGGCTCATCATCCTATTAGCCTTTTTTTTTTTTTCCAGCCATAGACAAAACTAGATAGAGTATGTGGGAACCTCCTTACCTGTCAATGGAGTATCTTCCTTCACAGACATTGACCAAAGCATACAGCTGTCTCAGTGCATACTCATACTGAAATAAACATTTTTAATAATTTCAAGGATGAATAGCAGATATTTTTAATGCAAATTAAGTTGTGGCAATACTTCAAATATGCTATTAACATTCAAGGCATTTATTTGCTGGTCTGAATAATTTAATACTAGGCTAAATGGATCTCTCTTCTGTTTACTTTGTTCTTAGAAGTTCATTAGGTAAATTCAGCTGTTGCTGCGCGTGAGCCTTTAGGCAAGGCTTGCCTATCTAACCACTTGCAATAAAAAACAAAAACAAAAAAAACAAAAAAAAACAATAACAACAAAAAAGAACCCAAACAACAAAAAAAATTCCCCTAAAAAGCACAGAAGAGGAATTAGAAGTTTAACAAAGCTTCACGGCCTCCTAACAGCCTGGCTAAACTGAAGCTCCAGTCGAAAGAGCACCTCTGCTTTTGATTTGCTAATAGTGCTTACGTCTTGTCTAACTGTCAGATAGTTCCACTGACTTCTGCTAAAATCAATAAATGTTCACAGAATCATACGTTTTGATTGGAAGGTACATTTAAGATCATTTAGTTCCAACCCCCCTGCTATAGGCAAAGGCACCTCCCCCTAGACCAGGTTGCTCAAAGCCTCATCCAGCCTGACCTTGAATACCACCAGGCAGGCAGGGCATCCACAGCTGTGCTGGACAATCTGTTCCAGCATCTTACCACCCCCATAGTAAAGAATTTCTTCCTAATGTCAACTCTAAATTTAACCTCTTCCAGTTTAAAGCTGTTTCCCCTTATCCTGTTGCTATGTGCATTTAGGGGAAAAAAAAAAAAAAAAAAAAAAAGTCCCTCCCCAGCTTTCTTGTAGGCCCTCTTCAGGTTCTGGAAGGCTGCTGTAAGGTCCTCCTGGAGCCTTCTCTCCAGGCTGAAGAGCTCCAGTTCTCTTAGCCCCTCCCCATAGGGGAGGTGCTCCATCCATCTGATGTACCCCATCACACAGCTCTGTCTGCTTAGGTTATCTTGCCTGACACCAGCATTGATTTTTCTCAAATAAGAACTGCCCTCTGAACAGTGTTTGGCACAACAGAATTTGGTCTTTAAGTGATATCTCAGGAAGAAAGGACAATAATAAAGCAGCTAAGAAAAAGGAGCTCTCAGGATTTCAATGAGACCATGATAGTATCAATTAGGCTATGAAAAAGAACTGTACAACATGCAATTATAATACAGAAATCTGAACATACTGTGAATTCAAAGTGGTAGTGCTGTTTCTGTTTTTCTAGTAGTAATGCTCCAACCAAAAATACAACATGACTTACTTAACACTTGGATTTCTGGGAAAGGAGATGGTGAAGGGATAGTTCTAACTAGTAGAAATTAGTCTTTTTGTTTGCTTTTTACTGCAGATTGTTTTAGTAATCTTCATCTACAAGTGTGGTTAAAGTGCTTCCTGCTTCCAAAAACATTACTCATCTAAAAATAGTCTGCAAGCTTGTCCCCATGCTAGCTTTTAATAAAAGCTGATTTTGCAGACCTGACAATGACTTCTGAGCTTGTGGTGTTACTAGTGTATCAGGTTATATCTAATGCTTGTCTTACCAAGGGAGAGTGCCAGTTGAAACAATGAGTTTTGAAGTGGTTCACTGCTGCCTGATAGCAGTCGTAATTGCTGATGGTCAGCCTGTCTGACAGGATCTGGTTAGTCAGTTCCGTTGATCCTGTTATTAGGGTGATGATCTTCCGCATGGATTCCTGGATATATTCTTTAGCCTGCACATAAGACAAAACTTTAAAATATGCTTTTTTTTTTATGCCTAATTTGAAGACTTTTAATGGAATTTTTCTTTAAATCTCTCTTGGGCCTCAGCTCTTAATCTTTAAGGGAATCAGTTTTGCCTCCTATTTTTGGTACAATATTTTGGACCTTAACACTCAAATGAAAACTAGGGAGAAAGAGATTTCTGGTGCACAAAACAACTTGTTCTCTCTCTGGTGTTCTGCCAGAAGAAAGACAATGAAGTATTGATAGTGGTCACACTACTGCAGAGGCTATTTGATGTGGGAGACTTTGCTTCTACTGTGACAAGGTTAGCTAATACTAAAGACTAACTCCTGCCAGCAAGAATTCCTATGGATAGAGAATGGGCATTTTCGGGCAATAAAAGGTGTGATGCTGACTTCTGCATTTGCTTACCTCTATCTTTATAATCACTACTTTAAATGCCTCTGGGAGTAAATCCCTAAGTTTTAAAGGAAGAGTAAGTCATCAGCTAGAGGCTAGCAGTCTGCAGACTAATTTTGTTAAAAATTGTAAAAACTGGAAACAATCCCATTGGTTCAGGAGTGTGACTTCTTATTATGGACAGAAATCTGACCTGGCATACAGCGTGGTTTTACTGTTGTTTGTTGGATTTGTTTGTTTTTGTTTTGTATACCTCCAGGTGTGCCTTCATCTCTGCAGCAATCTTCTTAGCCTCATACATATCATTGGTAGCCATCAGCTTTCGTTTCATGATAGCGAGAGGCACGTCGGGACTAGGAGTCAGGTCATGGTGTTCTACAGGTGGCAGAGAAATGGGGAGAGCTTTCTTCCCCATGCCCTGAAACTGCATCACTTTCATAGAGGAGATACTCTGAAAGTTAGAAAGTAAATAAATAAACTGTCAAGCACTTCCAGTTGAATGCTTTGCTTTGCTGTGCAAATCTAACTCTCTAAACTTGCTCTATTAGAAAAAGAATTCAAAGCCTTGTAAATATTTTTGTTTCTGACTAAGACTAAGGCTGCCAAAAATCTTGGAACTTTTATTTCCAAATATCAGAAGAAGAAAGGACTGTCAGGTTAAATAACTTATTTGTTTTGAATAATGTGTTAATGTGTTTCTATAAACACACTGAATAATAGGACTATTATAAATGGCATGTCATCTTTCAGCCCCTCTCATTCAAGGGAACAGTATACTTCCTTAACATTATATCAATATTCGCATGTCTAGAAGTGGTAACTATTTCTATTATACTTGATTGATGTCAGGTTTATTTGTGTATGATGACCAGATTCATTTTTAAATTAACTTTGCCAGACTGCTGTTTGTTTTTGTTTTAAAGGGGAAAAAATGGATAGGGCAGAGAAGGTTTTAAGGAAGCCTGCTCAAATACGTACTTTGTTTCCATACTGCATGACATGGCTGGTGTTGGTGCGCTTCTTCACCAGCTGAAATTGCTTGTGCAGTGTTTCTTTTCTCAGATCCTCCTGCATAAAGAAACTTCCATGTGATCGTAGCTATTTAAATTCAGCTATTATAAAAATATGTAGAAACCTGGAAAAGGCTGTGGCTACCAGTTTGTAGAAAAAAGTAGAGAGTAAGAGCTACAAAACCTTTGAAATGCATAGAAATAAAAAATGGAAATGAAGATTTGCCAGGATATTCCCAAATTGCTTTTAGTGATCTCTTAATTCCCAGCAAATGGGCAAGCAGGGAGGAGACTAGCATAAGAATCCAGACTTGTTTCACTATTACTATTTTCCATTATGCTAATAAATGTGTTAACCACAGTTCAGTATCTAAGGATCTGTAAAGCACAGATGAAACCTACTGACCTGCCAGATTAAACAAATTCAGATATGTTGTCTCAGATAGTAAACGAAGGTGATGTGAACTTGAAACTAGAAACTAGACGGTTTCTAATATTACTAATAAAAAAGAGTAAGTTTCTGAAATAAATTCAGTTGCCCAAAGATTATAAACTTCTAAATAGCAGTTAAATACTTTTATCAACTCAGTTTGTTGATTTCAGTCTCACATAAAAACAACAAATCCTCTAAAACAACTTTTTTAAAGCCTAGTGATATTTGTGTATAGAAATACAAGCAATCTTATCTAGTAACCTACCATGTCTGAATCTTCCATCCAATTCACACTGTACCAGTCACCAAGATAAGTCTGCCTTTCATCATCATAGTAACAGGCATAAGATGACTCCCTGGGGTTTGCAGCAGTTGTTGCGTATACTGTAAGAAAAAAGTAGTTTTTCGTGGTTTTGTTGTTGTTTTTTTGTGTTTAACATTCCATTTACTCCATGATTGAGTACCTTCCTGCATGGGATATATTTGCCTAAGGATGTTGGCTATCATTTACTTCTAAATGGTGTGGAGAAAAGAAGCTAGTTAGTAATTCTGTTCAGTCAGCTGCACTGTTTTAAGAACTTGCTGTGTGGCCAGCAGTGCTTAAGCTGGAGGGAAAAACACAAACTACTTTCAAATAACTGCCTGACAATATTGCACAGTCACAGTCTATACATTTGTACTCCTAATTACAATGAGGAGGATTTGTTCCCAAACTTGGAATAAATTCTACAAATCATCTTTTGCTACCTTTTAAGTAATATTATCTCCATATCATTCTACATTGAGGGAAAAGTTCAAATTGTCTCTACACGATCTGTCTCAAACACAGTGCTTCCAGTCAGTCCTCTCTTACGCAACAAGCATTTTAAACATTCCCTTACAGATACTAAAACAAAAGCTGGATTTTTTGTCAAAATCAAGTCATGGCATACTTGTGTGACTGGAGTCCAAGTTTCAAAAATGAAAACTGCTATGCATGCTTAATATATAGCTAGTGTTGTTTTCACTCAGAATGTTGCTACAGTTCAAAAGCCGAGAGTCTCAAATATCGTCTGTGTAGTTAAGTGATGCCCTTGGCATCCTTTAAAATACTTACTAAGAAACCATTTATAGTTTATAACAAACGGTTACTTTCAGTTAAAAATGTTCAAAATAAGCTGTAATCTTTGTAGCTCACAACTGAAGGCTGACAAGGACAGCTTCTGCTTCTAACAAAAACTCCCAATTTTCTTCCTTTGTATATCAGTGGTAGAGCTAGCAGTAAAACCAGTCACCAAACTGGAGGTTTCTAATAGAATAAATTTTAAAACATGCTGATTCACTGAGTACTGTGAAACGTTCTGTGAGAACCTGCTGTAAATTCCTGATGAGGCTGTAAGACTCAGTGGCTGCCAGCCAGGCTACTACAGGGCCAAAGTCCTAGGAAGCCACGATATGCAGGTGGCTGGGTCCTTCCTGGAATAAGAGCTTCACGACAATGAAAAAGCCAGAGTGTTTGCTCTCCCAGCCATGGAGCAGAGCTTGAAAAGGTTCTCATTCCTCATACTAACCAAGGCTAAACTCCCAGCTCTGTAGTAGAAAGCTTAGAAACTCTGAAAAATTGGGAGTTCCACTACCTGGTGTATTGCCCAAAGCAGCGTAGCAAAACTGTCTGTCAATCCTGTATACTGATTGGTACTAGGGGAGGAAAGTGTCAGCAGGAACAACTGTTAACAATGCTGAGACTAAGAAATGTCAGTATAACCTTAGTGGTCACCAGTTAAGGACAACTACGTAGTTCCTGAAAAGAACTTTTTCAACTTCTCATTTGTAGAAACAAAAAGCCTAGATCGTCTTTACAGGATTCTTGGTCGGGTTTTAAATGGTACTTCCCATAAATGGAAAATGTAACTTTCTCTAATCCTTTCTAGGGATGCACATGGCACTCGAACTTATCCCTTACACAGTATCTGTTTAGGTCTTGCCTACGACAGGTTGAGAAAGCTATGTCCATTAAGTTAACTGATGGCTCACCATTGATATTATCAGGCAAATGATTCATCATAGATCCAGACTCACATGCTTCAATGTAAAACACCATCTATAAAATAAATCAGAGACTTTAATAAATTCCACAAGGAAACTGAGAAATGTCCTTCAGTGCTTTTCAGCTGTAGTTACTTTAACTGAACTGATAATCCTGAAACAAAACCTATTTGTAATGTTACAAAATAAAACAAAAAAGTAAATAGATCATTTTTTTCTTTTTTTGGGGGGAGAACTAAGCTATGTGGAAAAGGGAAAACAATCACAATGGAAAGATGCAATCAACCTCTATAGAATCCAAAGGGATCTAGTGGCTAATGTACAAAGCACAAATTAAACACAAGTCAACCCTTAGGGCTAGCAGTGTGCCACTAATGAATGTAGTATATCTGGAACCTATGACCATGTATGTGTTCCTAAACACACCCAACTATTCTATAGATAGAATAAGCAGCTTTAAAAAAAAAAAGCTACCGTTAGATTCACAGAATTTTCTGATAAAAGGTACAGTCTTTTAAACTATATTAGTAACTGTCAGAGAAAAACAAGACATATATGAACATCCTGTAGGAATAGTGCAGTCTGAAATGAAAAAAGCACAGGAAGAAAGAGCCAATGCATTATGAGGGTGCAATAGTTATGAATGTTGTTTCTCCCGCTGGTTACGTTTATATGTTATAAAGAGTCTAGTCTATATCTCTGCTGCATCAATTGCAAACCAGAAAAGATGGAAAGGGAAAATATGTAGAGGATCAGACCCGTAAGTTATAAATTCTAATCCAAATTTCATTACATGGCACCAACTTCTTTGTGCTTTAAATTACTCTCTGCAAGTGAAGGCAAGAGCTCTCTTCCATAGCAGCAATTTTTTTAATCATACAACTTCTAACACACTTGTTTACCTTTTGGTACTTTTTGTGATGATACATGTACCAAATGGTCTTGTTCAAGTCCTTCACGTGAAGCTGTAAAATAAGAAGGCGTCTGTTAAAATCACTGATGTTCAAAAGACTCAGAACTTGTTTATTAGGAACAACTGTGAAGTGATACACACATTCATAATCTTTAACATATCCAGTGCTTTGGACATCTGAAACAGTATTCTAGTATTTACCACAAAAGATGACTAATGGTGCCAAATGATACATGATTCATATACTGCACCAGAAAGCAAGTCCTAACAAAAACAGGGATGATGAAGAGAACATCGCTCCTTTTCTCCCTCCAATCCTTAATATGGCAGTGCATTGAATATTTGAGTTTTGGATGTATTACTTAGTATTATAGTATGGCGTTAAAAAGATAGGTTTTTTTTTTAATGACAAACTCCAAAGTAATCCCCCCCGAATGCTTACGTCATCATCAGGAAAAGCTAGAAGTCCTGGAGCTCCGTGGTCAGTGAAATAAACAAATACATGATCCTTGGGACCACTGTAAAGAAAAAATTGAAAGAAATTATTTTTAATCGCTCTAACCTAATCTTTACTGCAACAAGCATCATCTGCTGCTCAATACCAAGGCATGCCAACATTTGAAAATAATGCATCTGAAACACCTCGTGCTCTTGGTAGTACTTTTTCCTTCCAAAGCGTACTACTTCGAGTGCTTTTGAGAAAAGATGGGTGTCTGGAAGAGAAATAAGATCAGGTATATATTGTTAATCCCTCAAACATGGGGACAATTGCTGGTTAGGCTGGTGATGGTAGTTGGTAGGAGTACAACTGTTTTTCCCATCTTAGAAATCTGTATACTGTGGAGATTTGTAGCATTCTAGTAAAAATGGATTCCTTTTGTAATTACGTTATAGCAGGGCACCTGCTATAATATGTGATAAACTACAACGTGTTTTTTAATAAGATTCTTTGTATGTTTATGTACTACCTTGTTTTGATCTGTACAGCTATATATAGCCAAATCAGTACCAGTCCATGTCTCATGAAGATCTGATCTGTATACAAATTCACTCTTTATGCTAGGTAGGTTCCTTGTACTACATGGCTTCACAGTTGGTTGAGCACTGTATGCTCATGAGTGCTGATTCCCTGAAGTTTGCAGCAGATTTTTAATGCTCTCTAAATCAAATAGATAATATTTGGCTGATGCTAAGGTGTTGCTCTAACAGCCAGATCTCCAACGGGATTTGTGTTCAGGGACTATTTCAAATAAACTGTATAAACAGATTGGAAAGAATCCCCAAGCCAGCTTTCTGCCTGGCCAATAACCTGCTGGTTAGGGAACAACCTACAGAGCAATCTATAAGACTTTTGAGCAGAAAAAATAATTGAGCTCTCGTCCCACCCAAAAGCAGAATGAGGGCACTGAAATTCACACAACGAAGCCTAACAAAAAAGGGGTTGGGACATATTTGTCTGCCACTCTTGGCCATTTTTTGTTTTGTTTTGTTTTTTTTTTATCAGGGTTCAAGCTGTTCTCCTGAGTAGCTAAGTGTCCTTGGCCCTCTGCATAGCCACTCCTTTATGTGACTTATAACTTCAGGATTTTACAAGTGAGGTGTGTTTTGAAGTACACTTTTTTAATAGGCTAAAGAATGCTTTATATTCATTGCTTGGCTCATTGCAGCTACTAGAAAAGAACAATCTAGTACCCGTACAGCAACTTATTAACTTTTTGCCTATACAACCTGCATATATTATTTTCTATCTTGCTTCTTTAGGAGGGAATATAAACAACTGAGAGCAGTAGATTATTCAAATACTGTCCTGCTCCTTCATTGGTTTTATTCTTCCCAATGCTGGAAAACAACTCTTTTATTTCATTGCTTTGTCTCTAAAATGAACTGTTGGATGAAGACAGACACACAATTTTTATTTAACTAGGTTACTTCTTTGAATAGGTTGAATTTAAATTTTAAATTTTTTACAAGAAATACAGTACAAAGAAAAAGGACAAATATGAAAAATATCACTAGCAGCACTGAGTCAGAAATATAATACACCTCAGAAAATAGGCATCATATTTCACACTGTAGATACCTGGTGTAATTTATTCATCTTGTATATTCTTAAGAGGTCTTCCAATTAAGCCCTCAAATAGATTGGTTACTGAATCAACAAAGTTCTATAAACCTTTATAAACTGCACTCATTAATTACAGTTAATTCTACATTAATTGCATTAATTCTACATGGCTAATCTAGTATTTATTATTGTTCATATATAAGAATATTGCCAAAATTAGACATATTTGTGCAACTAAGTTGACAAACACTTTTAAGCTACAAATCCATTAATATGTAAGGCTATGTTACTTTTTCAGCCTAGAAGACTTCCTGCATTAAATATAAACTGTAATTCTATTTCATTACATTCAAAGCCTAAATATATCTGCATCTGCCAAGGCTGGGATTAAGCATGCAATTCTTTCAGCTGATGAGCTGCTGAACCTATCTCCACCCCACTACCACTGATTGCCATCTCTTACCACTTCACTTATAAAACTGTTAGTGTATGTCAAACCAAGCCCTCTTCAAAGGTCTCCAAACCTTAACAGAATTCTATTTTTGTAGATCTCCTTCAAAACAACAACAAGCAAAACAAAACAAAACAAAAAAAAAAACCCAAACCACAACAAATAACAGTTTAACTGACATATATGCTCTAATACAATTGACACTGTTTTCAAGAATTTTTCACCCTCATCTATACTGGACTCACTACCAGTAAAAAAATGTCAGCTCTAGTTTACCCTCTTCTTTTTTTGAAATCAGTACTGATGTGCAACATGCATGCAATTATTTTCTAAATGAAGTTTCTCTTACCTTTTCAGTACTTTTCCTGATCCCACCCCCTTTACTGCTTCTGCATCCCCTCTGAGAACAGCAAGGAAATTCTTTGGAGTAACATCCTAAGAATTTAAGAGGATTTAAATTAAACAGTATTAAAAAAACAAAACAAAACAAAATCAACAAAATCTGTATTTAGTAAGATGGCTTCTGAAAACCATAACTCATGTGTGGCTGGCAAGTTTAGCTGGCCACTGATATTCAAGAACAACATTTCCTCAGTTTCCTGCATTGTTCATATTCTGAAAGTAATTTGCTTTCTGATACTTCAGCAGTTTAAAAGAAGAATGCAAGCCAAATTCAAAACGTGGTCTTGTAGTAGAAAGAGGATCTATTCATTCTATATAGTTATCATTGGAATTCCCTGTCTTGGTTCCTACTTAGATTTCCAGGGATAAAACAGTCTTACTGCAACTATGGAGCTCAATGTTTAGAGTTTCTTGAGATTTATGTTTTGGAGGTAAAGCCAAATTAAAAGACCCTGCCTTTGCCAACTTTCACCCACCTCTTCAGTCCTACATCCAGGTCCTTGCAATTGCATACACTGGCAAAATTATTCCTGCATGTAATTTTTTAACTATATATTGGTATCATCTGGAATTTTAAAAAATCCCCAAAGAAATTTACTATAATTTTAGCTTCAATGACACAGTTTCCAGTCTTAAACCTAATTTCCCAACTTCAGGGTTGCATGTGTAGACCATATTAGCACTTATGACTCACTCAGACACCAAATCACAAAATCACCAAGTAACTGCATTACACTTCTGATTTAATGAAATAGACTTACACAGCTGTTCTTTAGATTGAGTTAAAACATTTTTATATGCAGGACAATGTGAGGATTTACTTTTATGACCACTATTTTGCCTCCAAGTATCTAGTGTTTACATTCATCTTATGAACAATGAGCTTCGTGCCAAACCATGCAGGTGAATAAGCTAAAGGCTTTATACTATGTGCATTCTCATGTGTAACATACAGATTAAAAGTATTTATCCACAACACTGGTTAAAGCTGAACCCTAGTTTCCCTGAAATTGTGTTTTATTCCTACCTCTTTTGTATAGTCCTTGGGCACTCCAGCATACACATCTGTTCCATTAGGTCTATTGATGACAATGCCTTTTGTTGGATTTCTGAAAGTTTAAAACAATATAAATACAAAGAATTAGTAATGTGCCATACAAAAACCACAGAACAAATGGGAAACAATTCAAAATGTCCTGACTGGCCACCTTGCCTTGGAGAGCGTATGAACACTAGTACAACGTATTGTTAAGTGATCACAGAATACAAAGGCCTTTACATTTCAGTTACTTCACATGTTCAGCTTAGATGTCCTTAGAGTACTTGAAGTATCCTACCACAGATCGTGTAGATTAACCCGAGCATATAGGTAGGTGGTCTGTTATACTATTATCTCCCTGCTTTCACTCCTTCCTTTAATTCCTTTTATTCTCTGCTCTGCTATGCATGCTGTGTCTGCTGACTTCTGCTGAAGTTGTATCAGAAATAGAGGCTGTATAAGCGAACAGTTTCACACAGAAAACAATTATATATGCTATATAGGCAGTGATCAAGGACAGGTCATGTACGTTTCTCTGTTCAGTGCACTTTCTGGAGATTAATCCATTTGATATGTAACTCATAGGCTTTTTATGAAAGGATGTTGAGATTCCCTACATGCGTGCTTTTAGGTTATCTGCTGTAAACTTCTATGTCTGGGGGGTAAGACCCCTTGCTTTTGTAACAGTGAAGAACTGACAAGGATCTCTAAAGTCCTCAGTGCCATAACAGAGGTTGAGACGTGGAGCAATGCCTAGAATGCCTCATGAGCATATCCCAAAGCAGATTTACAGTGCTGATGGATAAAACTTCTCTATGTATCTCAGGCAGTCTTAAAAGCTCTTCTTACAAAAATACTACAAACTCAAACTATATTAGTGACTATGGCATATTTGTAGAAAACAGCTTGTTACCAGTGCACATTCATTACTTACTCGTCATTATCAGCAATGTCATCATACATCATGACAATTATCTGTTCATCTGGAATTCCATTTCGGTGTACGATCTGGTATGCGTGGCACACATCTGCCTGTAATAATGTAGGTTTTCATTATTAGCTTTAATAGAGACTTCACGCTTGAGAACAAGAAAAATAGCTTTGTGGACCAAAGACCAGGCTATTGTTCAAAAGAAACTCCATCCTAGTATTTTCATTTCAAATATAAGAGATTGAGGGTTGCTAGAAGACTGAAATGCAAAGATGTAATCCAGAATTGTCTTCCTCTTACTAGGAACAGTTGTATTAATAATTAAGACTAGGATTAAAATTTCTCCAGTTTACAATTTCTATTCAAACACAATCTAGAATTTACATGCAGATTAATAAAGATAGCAAAGTTTAACAAAAGGTCCTCAGCAATGTTCTATGTTGTGCAAGGAAATCTAAGTGAAAAACTTGCCAACAGAGATCCAAAGTGCGCTAAGCAGAGGAAGAGTTGGATTTCCACCAATTTCAATTAGTTCTGCAACAAGCCTGCATGACTAAGCAGCAAAAACTACCCTTGGCTCAAACAAGTATAGCTTACTAATATCAATTCTGCAAAGACTTTTTTTTTAATTTTGTTTTACTAAATGAGAATTTTGATTAACCAATAATTCCTTCTTAATTATATATTTCTTGTAGAGTAACACTAAAGTATATTCAGGGCAAGGATTTCCACAGAAACCCGAATTACAAAATTTCTGTTCAGGCTCTTTTCCTGCCTCATGCAGGATATGAGTAAGCAGATTTTTTTTTACAGAACCACTTTCTGATGGCAGAGAAATAACAGTGCTCATTAAAACAATATTACAGTAAAGTATGAAGTTCTATCAGCACACAATCATTCTTTTTTTTTTTCTTTTTGAGACGTGCAGTCTGTGAATGACTGAATGGGTTATTAGCAACTGCATTTTAACTATAACCTATCAGATGCAAGAAAAAATGTGCAGATTTAACAGGAGATGTCTGACCTAAAAAAATTTTAACTTCCCATGCAAGCTGGAAACAAGCTTTAAAACTTATTTCTGCTAAAGTCATTTAATTAACTGTTTTATACACCAAACTACAGTGGTTTAAGTGGACCTCCATAAGTTTAGTTTACTTAGATGCATTACTGACTTCTATTAGTTTAATTTAAATGACTCTAAAATCCTGCCATTTTCATCTTGTATGGCTGAAAACAGGGTAGTTGTGCAAGACTATGAAGGGTGAGGCAAATTCAATGCCAATGAACTCTCTCAGGGCATATCTTTCCATATGACTAACTCTGAGTGTTAAACTATTCTTACTAAAGCAGTTTTACTTCCTACAACACAAATCAGGATAGATTCTCTCCCTCCTGTCTCAATCTACCTCCACTGTTTACAGTTCTCCAGTTCCTTGTACAGCATTATGGGAGCTGTTGCCACATCAAGCCAAAGACACAGGTTATCCAAAGTTATAAATGGTACCACACACAATGCAAAACAGCTGAGTGCACACTTGACTAAATAGATATTTGGTTTTCAGAAGCAACCCAGGCAAAAGTAGTAGAAAACACTAATCAAGCATCTGTACACGAACTGATGAGTAGATGGGTCACAGATCTGTCACCCTTAAGACACAGTACATGTCTTCTGCTAGGCTGATAGACACAACTACAGTCAAGCAACACAAAGAAATGCTTAGGTATGTTATAGTCATAGAATATCAACACATTCAACCAACAAATGTCTGCAGGCAATATGATTGGCCTGTTGAGACTTTCTGAGGTGCTTTAAATCAATACCAAAGTACCTCAGCTTTGTAATTGCATGCTATCAGCTTATTTTTTTTGTCTGCTCTTCATTCTCATTCATTATTCTTCATTCTTCATTGACTGTTTGCTCAATGTATCCTGTCTTACATACATCTTGATGGTAAGTTTAAGTGAGTCAAATTATTTAGTGTAGGTGGAAACAGAGCAATTTGATCAATTCCCATCAACCTTAATTTATGCCTGTTTGGATTTTTACCCCACCTTTTAAGACTTTTGCTATGAGAAAGTATGTCTGCTGGTAATACCGTGATATCACTGACACAGGCTATTGTAGCAAAAACATGTTTTGCTGCTAAAACTCCCTTATCTTAAGTAGAACAGTTTTGAGGAAATGTTTTTGTGTGCATAGTTAGCTGACCAGACCGGCCACCTTTGATGTTGGTCACATGCTCTTCTTCTTCCCTCCCATATACTGAAAAACAACCTCTATAAAACCAGAATAGAAACAGCCTGCTGCTAGAATAGGAAGGCATTTGTGAATCTACAGTATTTCCTGTTATCAGTAAGTGCTTGAGTAAGTATCGTTGCTTGAGCTTTGCTTCTTACAGAAAAATTTTTTGTAGCATAGCTAAACATGTAAACTACTCTAAAAGAGATAGCTAATATTGTTCCAGGTCCCCTGTTGGTATCATTCTTGTTGATTTAGTACATGATATGAATTCTATGAACATTTACTGCATACAATCATCACTTAAAGCAAGTCATGTTTTTGTGATTATGATTTGGTGTGGATAGGGATGGCTCTGTTCTGAAGAGCACGGATGAGAATGTCCAATTATACAGCTGCTAATACTCAACAGTGCACAGGTGTCAGCTGTAATGGAAACTGTTAATGGGATGGTTCAGACTTTGTATTCTCATGTTAAGTCTAAGCCTATTGCCACCTCAGCAAATTCCTAAGGAATATCTGAGCTTAAATCCACTTAAATAATTAACTCCTGCATCTTGAAAGCACACCAGTCAGGTGGAATTTCCTTCCTTTCCTGGGATGAAAACAAGAAACAGCAACCAGCCTTACTCCTTTGTCACAGAGCTGTTTAAACATTCAAGTTAACACAGCTTTCAAGTAGCCTGCTTTTTTTTTTTTTCTTTTTGGAAAAATCAAGTTGTTTTGTGGTATGTACGCACAAATATTTCCTAAATGAAAAAAAAAAAGCACAGACTTCCCTGCAATTACATACTTCTAGTCTTATGACTTCCAGCCTCATGGCTAAAAAGCACGTGTAACAAAGTGTTGCTTTCCTGCAAAGTGGCACTGCTCCTGCCAAAGGTACACAGAACTTCTATGGCCAAAGAAAGAATGAACTCTAATGTATAAGCGTGGCAGAAGACTATGTCTGAAATGTCAGCCACGTTTCATTCCCTTTCTGAAGCATGCATCAGTCAATCAGTCAAAAACTACAGCTCTATTAAGAACTTTGGAAATGTTTAATTCCTGGCCCATAAAGCTCACTAACTATAAGACTGAAAACAATGACTGAAAACAGACCCATGCACACAATGTTTTAATTTTCATCATTTTCATGTTGTCAGATTTCTCCTCTGGTATATGTTCCACCTTTAGTAAGACTCAACACTGTACAGTATCAATAATGTTCATTTCTGGCTTGTGGAGTACCAGAAAGTAATGGCTTGTTTTCTTCATCTGCTTGTGAAACTAACTTTAGGTTGGAGTTGCTGGCACAGTTACAGCAGTCAGAAAAACTGCTAAGGAGCATAGTATATTGGATAATACTTTCAGTGACCAAGCAACTCTAATAAAAAATACTAAGATATCAGTAAAACTGCTGAAGAATTGAGAAGCACCAAGCACAAAGTTATATATAGGCTAGTCTTGCAATAGCAGTAAGCCTATCACATTGGGCTGAGTACTATTCAAAACATTTAACATTTTTCTTGGGAACCTGATTAGATAACTGCAAGAGAAAAGTTTAGATCATTTTGATTTGATAACCATCTCACTTCAGGCATCAGACAGAATACAAGTGCCTGTAAGATCTGAATCTCAAGTACAGATAAATGCAAACAGTGGGTTTTTCTCCTTTATTTGCCTACATTTGAGGTTTGCACCACTTAGAGTGGATCCTGACCGCTGACAGATGAAGTCCTAGAAGGAGTTTCAGATTCATTGAGGTTACAGGTGCAAACTCACAGTTCACAGAGTCTGCACAGTCTTTACAAACTTGATACTGATGGTCTGTACAGGGTACAACAACAGACTGATTTCCCTACAGACTTTTAGGTATGACATTAGAGATGTGTTTGACAGTGTGACCTTTGCTCCCTCCTTTTATGTTTGCATAGTCAAAGGAACAACTTCTGCTACCTGGTACCTACTGTGGAAGGCAACAGAGCAGACAGACTTCTGCGTACAGACAGAATACAAAGCAACAAAAACATTAGGTGTAATACAAACACACGGCCTTATTTATTAACTGTATCCCAAAGAGCTGAACTAGGTACCAAAACCCATGTGTTTGCCTAGTCTCAAGTTACAAAGGGATATCACAAGGGGCACTTAGGAAATAGCACCCTAACTGGTAATGAGCAACCAGCACACTGAGTAACTACTTGCAGGAAGATTCACATCTACATATTTTCAGAGAGGTTCTAAGGAGGAAAGGTGACAGTGGGAGGAAAGAGCATTAAAGTACAATTTATTTTCTTCTGCAATTTCTCCTTTGGAAAGAAGAATGACAAAGAATTAAATCTGCACTCCTAAAGCACTGCTTAGTTTCTGTTAGTATAAGTATTATTCTACTCAAAATTGTAGGCTCACCATGGAACAATTTCCATGATGGATGAAGCACACAGCTGGAAGTTCAAGTCCTATTCATGGTTCCAAAGCACCTGATGAGCAAGCCATTTAGCACACCACTTCTGCGTCCAAGGTTGAAAATAAGGGATAACTAACATATGCAAAGCATGGCAATAAGCCTGCATAACATTTCTAAAAGTCTGTAATGATTCCTCAAGTGTCTGTTAATGCCCCGCCTCCTCTTTACAACTCTCCTAGAAGTCAGTCTATTGTTCAGCTAGTTTTGCTGGGATTAAGCTTTCTTAAATGTTTGATACTCGAGGCATCCCCTTGTTGAATTACATTTAGCAGCACGTACAAAGTGCATTTTCCACGAGTTAGCTACTGGGTGTCCCAGTACATCTTTCCTCCATGGAGGTGGACCCTGAGAGGCAGCTAGACATGACAGTAGAGGTTTCTGACAGTCTGCATCTTGTGGGAATTAAATCTTTTTTAACAAAATAGAGGTAGCAGAGTCTCATTGAGAACAGATAAGTGAGAGCTTAATCCCCTTCTGAAGGATCCTGCACACAGACTTATAATACCGATTTCATAACTTTGACAGGATTGCTAGCAATGGACTCATTTCCCTTTTTTCCCCAAATGCTAGCACTATTCCTGATGCAAAAGGAGAGGTTAAAATACAGACATTTCTAGGATTTAAATGCAGTACCTGACACTGCAGATACTTTGCAGTTAGTTGACATTCTCTTCAAATTGAAGGCATTCAAAAAAAACTTGTTCTCAGTTGAAAAGGTTACTTAGCAGACAGTACTTGAAAGTTGAAAAGGTACTTAACTGTCTGCTAAGTGCGACCACACTTGAAATGTAAATGTGAAATTCTGACTTATCACCAGACACAAACACTTGGGTGAAATTCTTGTGTTCTTCGTTACTCCCTTATATCCGGCAGATAAACTGAAGACCTACCAACAGAAAGATTAAAAGCTCTATGTGCCTGATCAACAGTAGAAAAGGAATTATCACGAACCACAGCTTTAAAAAGAAATTTTATTTAAAGATTGAATGTTGCAGTATTAATTCCTCTTAGTGGAAGAGAGCCAGAAAGACTGGTTACACAGCAATGCCAGCAACCATAACCTAACTCGGAATAATTTTACATTTAGACATGCCAAGAAGGGTAGTGATCAAGTACAATGCTTGCATTTTTGTAATTGTTTTCTGTAGGAATTTCGACTTTTCAAAATCTCTTCACAAGTAATTCCACCTCCGGTTATCAAGCGATTGTTACAGTGCAACAAGCTGGCACAAACCCCCAAAACCAGTTTGTCCAACCCTTAAGCCAGCGTTTGTCTCTAACAGGTTCTTCCTCAAATGCAACAACGTTGTCAGGCTGGTTCACTTAGCTTTAATCTCATCATTGCACTGAAAGCAGCAAACTGATTGCAAGCTGAAAGGGAAGAGAGGCATAAACACAAAGCCTAGTGCACGCAACACACAGAAGACTTGTTTCTTTCCCCATTGCAACAAATGGAGAAGATAAGGTCTATCTAGTTTGTACAGGCAGCTGCATTAAAAATGATGAAGTTTTAAAAATGAACAAGTTTTGAGTTCAGAAAGTTAGTTTGATAGATGTAATCAATTTATTTAATGCAGCCTAAATTCTAAAATGCTGGTTTACTACTATGTCAAAACCAGCAACAGTCTAGTAAAATATTTTTCTAACAGTTAAAAACACACAAATGTATACCTAGGTCATAATAAAATGGGCTGTGCTCTCCAGAGAAGCAAAAGAGCATTCTAAGTTTTGAGCAAGGACTATGTTTAAGTGAAGATGAATCTGTTTAAGGGATTGCCCAAGAATTCCCCAAAGGGAAAAAATGCTGTAGTCTCCTGACCACTAGTTACAAAAGTCCTGAATTTAATCAGAGTTAAGTCACAGTCCCATCTGTTCTGACACTCGCCCTCACGCCAGTGGTGACAACACAGGAGTTCCTGTTTCCTTTTCTCCTCTTTCAGCCCTGCACCCAGAGCACTGTATTCTTCTTGTGGCAGCACAAGTCTGAGACCATGCAGAATACAGCTAGCAAAAAGCTTAAAAGAACCCTTGTCTTCCACTCTACAAAACCCCAGAAAACATGATGTGTATATACAGCTTTAGCTGAGTTTTCCAATAGCGGAGGAGAAAGGAAGATTTTTTTATAATGTAAGCTTTTAAGAACAACAGACAGAAACATGCATGTCTCTCAAAACTAAGGTTTAATTCTAGACATCTCTTACTTTAAGTTGGAGTCAGACCTAGCATGGTAATAAAATATTTAGCCTAAGTGATACAGGTCTCTCAAGATACAGAAGCTGACTAGAGGAAGAACACTGCTCCTACTGCTAATGACTTCTTTTGAAAGGGCGAAAGGCTGGATGAAGTTGTAAACAAAAACACTCAGTAAGAGGAAAAATGAAGGGTAATTATTGGGTGAGAATAACAAGACAAGGCCAGGCTGTGCATGAATCTTGTTGCTATTCTTTCACAATACTCCACATGCTCCTGGAAGCCCAGAAGCAGAAGCAGTTGCCCAAATGACCTAAGTCTGAACTAGTCTAGACAGACTGCCATCTCCCTGCAAGTCCCAGAGCAGGCATTTTGTGGAGAGTGGTGTCAGCATGTGGCTCCTTACCTGGTGGCGGTAGTTGTACCAGCCATTGGAGCCTGCAACAATCACCACCCAGTGCTTGCCTCCATCTTCGGGCTCTTCCAGGGGGAACGTGCTGATGCCCAGAGTGCAGCTCAGCAGCACAACTGCTTCCAATATCATCCTTCTTCTTTATTTATTCTGCAGATGGGAAGGAGAAAAAATCCCTAATGAAGAAGTTTGAAAGAAGTAGATCAGAGGACATAAGCCAAAAAAAAGTAAGCCAAAACAAAGTAAATGCCAGCAGTATCACAACAAGAAGCCCTTCTTGCTTGTGGACTGTTTTTGTATTCTAAAGACCGTTCAACCCACTGTACAATTTCTGGTCATATCTTCCCTTAGCACCAAGCTGCTACTAGTTACAATACTTTTCTGTCAGCTTTCAAATGTAACTGAAAGCAGTTCTGAGCAGGACAACCAAGTCTTTCAGCTCCCTCTGGTTGCTTTGTTCTGTACTAGCTGGCAGTGAATAAGTTTTCAAATACAGAACAAGTATCATTGTCAAATATTTCACACAAAACTTTCTCAGAGTAACACTGTTCTCTTGGTCTCTGCTTGGGTAGATCTCTGGTTCCACTTGCTGGCAATGAGCCCATTACCATCAAGTTTCAACCCCTGGTGATGCAGGCACAAAGATGTACAGATGTGGGGCATTGCTCAGGAGCTGCAAGGTCAGAGCACTAGAAGAGCACTATAAGAGCTCTCTGTGCCCACAGAGCCAGTGAGGGGAGGGAAAGCCCAGAGTGCTGCTGATCTGCATGCAACAAAGCTGGGGCTGGTGGGAAGCACAGGCTCTTAGCACCTTGTGCTATTTGAGCAGACTATGCTGGTGGAGAGCAAACCGGTACCACATGAAAGAGAGGTACTTTCATCTGTTTTGCACAATGGTTAAGTGTTTGCACAAGCTGCGTAGAGACAGAATAAGGTCTGAGACTGTGAACACGAATTCAGAAAAGCAGAGCCAGAGAAGAGCTGCATGCTCTTGGAGGGGGATTTTACACTGGTCCAGTTAAAAAATATATATATTCTGGGGGCTGATCTCCATTGATACGTATGTGAGAGGTACAGTAAGAGTGGAGCAGTCTACTTAGCACAGCTTTCTTTGGGATAAAATTGGAAACTCCCACAGCACACTGCATGATCAGAAGGTATAATGCCATAGCTGCCACTATGCCAAAGAACTAGCAAGCATTTTAAGTTGGTCTCAGTTCCACATGGCCAGGACTCCTACACTCCCAACTAAGGCTGAAACAAATGTAACCAACCCGAGACTAGGTCATGTATGGTGAGTGCTCATAGCACAACACAGTATGGGTATTTCTAAGACTAGATCTTGGCTAAGTCATGCAGGCAGTTACAGGAAAAAAAATTATAAATGTTTTTGAAAGAGGTTTTGGGGCTTTTTTTTCTTTTTCCCTCTTTAATGGAGGTAGCACAAAGTCATGTTAGCACATTGGTTTCTGCAAGAAGAGTTATTACCACACCAGTGAGCTCCAGAACAGAGGGAAAGACAGAACCAAACATAAAGTGCTGTGACACTGCTTCTTCAAAAACTCACCTTCAGCTAGGACACTTATCTTTCTGCAGTAAACCACTCCTGGCACTGTCTGTAAGCACAAGATTTTGGAGCAAGAACAATACAGGAAAACTAACAACAGACTGCTGAGCTATTAGACACCTGAGTAGCTAGAAGTGCATAAAGGAATAAGCAGTAGTTTTCTGCAGTTTGATAGACAGCTGTGATCTCTCATGCTGAGCTGCAGTTTTAAGTTCTTGTGCAGTTTAAGACAGGCAGCCCTGCATTCCACCTCTGCCTTGCCTATCTTGTCACTTCTTCAGACGATTGACACAAGCAGCATACTAACAACTGCCTTGAAGAGGCACTGCATTCACAATGCAACATCAACAAAAGCTGCCTACACTTACTTGTAGCACAGCTGTGATTAAGTTGTGCAAAACTTTTGTCAAATGCCAATATATGCCATGGAATAACATACCTATTCCCTCCAATTATTCAGTTTCAGGGATACCCAACTGCTGAAATACTGGACAGGAGAAGAAAAATCAAGACATTTTAGACCATCTACTTTGAAATCTTAACTGAGTTTGACTTACTGGAAACTATAGCCAAGTTTCATGCAAATCCTTCAAAGTTTAGTCTCTGTTTCCTGTGACGAAACCTTTTCCATGTTAATTAAAGTACAACTCATTTCTCCAGCTAAAATCACTCACATTTACAGGAAAAAATACAAAGAGGAAATAAATGGTATGAATGATTACTGGAGATCCTTTCACGTGATGCTTATAAGTTCTTAGAGATGTAAATAATTAACTCAAATTCATTATGTATCAATAAAAGCTACGCTGCTGCCAGCTGCACCCTGGGCAACACTGCAGGATGGCTAATTGAGGGCACAGCACATCTAGTGCGTGGAAAAGCCACTGCCACAGCACTGGAGCCAGGGCCAGACCAGGAACAAATGAAGGCTGTGTTAGCAAGCCCTTCTGACTGTCCCTCCATGTGGTACAGGGACATGAGGACCCTGCAATTTCCCATCTCTGCTGAGACAAAGTCATGAATGATACAGAAGTGAAGGAAAAAAGAAGCCAAGAAGGGTTTGCACTGTGTTTTTAGAAAGCCACATGTTTTGTTACAGGTTATTCAGAATTGACAAAATTCATCTTTTATATTCTCTGAAGACATATAATCCCACTTATCTTTTTCCTCTACTATAATTAAATCAAATTAACATCAGAAAGGAAAACCAAAAAGCACAGACATGCCTTGGTGCCCTAATAAGCCACAATTAATAAAAGCTCAGTTCCCCAAGGTTCCCTGAGCAGCTTTAAAATTGGCTTAAGCATTAAACACACGTGCAGTGGGAACAAGTCTTTCATTGCTTGTTTCCAAATACCAGAATAAAATAAGTACGTATTTCTACTTGTTTTAAAGAAAGCCTTTGATTGATCAAGCAGCAACTTGAAGGGTTGCATTCTGGGGTGTTGTAAGAGTGCTTGACCCAGAGTTTAGCAGAGAAAGCTCCCATCACATGTCATGCCTTCAGGTCACATTTAGGAACCATCTGACCAGCTTACCATTGATGCGTAAACAGCTTTTTCTGAGAGCAAGGAATAAAACACATCACGTGCCATCCCCAACGCACGCAGAGCACGAGTCTTGCTCTACAGAAAAACACAACCTGTGCATGGGAGAACTGAAAACTCACAAAATCATTTTAGAGTTCTGGCTGACCACCACACAACACGGGATGATTTCATCAGCCCTTCCTGTTTTTTTTCTAGTAGAAGAGCTAACTTTGCTTTGGAGACCATGTCAGGAAAAAGGCACCTCACAGACACAGCACGCGACCCTGCACACACAGAACAACCACAGCATGCAGTTTGCTCAGCCCCTGTGAGGAGCTGGGCCAGGGCCAGGCAGCCCTTGCCAGAGCAACCTGCCCAGCTCCCAGCTCCTGTATTCTCTTCCCAAGCTCCTGTAGCCATTTCCCACTGCACACCTCCAACCTGCTGAGAGATGGGAGCTTACGCCATCTGCCAGTGCCACTCCTCTGGCCAGCAGCCTGCTGCTTCTGTGTCCGCCCCACCTTTCCTTAGAAAAGCTACACTAAACCAAAAATCTCAGATACCAGCTAACACTAAGGAAAGCAGCCTGTGTTGAGGAAAGCATTTTCCACGGGAAATTACAGTGATGTCGACATTCAGTCACTTGAACTCCAAACAGCTCAAGCACAGCCTCTCAGAGCCACACAAACAGAAACCATCAAGGCATCCTCCCTTCGTATGAGCTAAGAGTAAACGTAGAAAAAAAAAAAACAGCCTTAGCTTACCAGCTGATCATGCCCATTCTTGTAAATCTTACTTTTCCTTGTTTTCTTTCCTCCAGGCCGCGCACTTATGACCTTTATTTTTCAGATTTGCCTTCTAGTTTTCAGAATTGAGTCCCAATACCTATTCCTGCACCGTGCCTGCACACTGCCTGCCATGATACTCGGCTGCTGATTCCCACAAAACACACGACACGACAGCCCTCCTCATGGGCAGCGATCGCAGCGCTGGGCAGCAGCATCGCTACTGCTGCCTGGTACAGCACCGCCGCCGTGGCCGAGCCCTGCAGAACAGGTCTGCTTTTCTGTATACACGTCTATAGCAAAAAGCAGAAGTCCTTGCGACCGCAGCCTCTGATAAACCACATTCTGAAGGAGACAGATATGAGGGGCTCTGTTGCAATACAGCTGTTTACAAGGGCCACGAGTAAATACTTAATGAAACAGCTTAGGACTGATGCTTGCAGTAAAAGAGCTTAACGTAGCTCCAGGAGATGTGGAAGTGAGAGCACTAATTCATCATTACGTTCACTCAGAACGATTTTAAACATTTCTAAATGCACCATCGAGGTATTGAGAAGTAATTTTAAATCCATCGTGGGTTCCTCGTCCTCAGCAGCAGAGCCAGCACAAGGGAGCCCAGAGCCTCCCAGGACAGAGACAGCCTCCTGGAGCCCTCGCAGGGGGTTTTCTTTAGGCACTTCGGAAATAACAGATGCTAATTCGGCCTCTGCCTTTCTCTTCCACATCTTACTAAAGTAAAGCCTCGGCACATCCCGAAGGTATCTCAGGAGTCACACTGCAGGCAGAAAAAACAGCGCTGAGACGACGCCCGAATGCTTGCTAATTATCACCCTGCACGGCTCTGTGGCGGGGCGCGGGGAGGAATAACTCAGATGAGGACGAACATTTCTGCCCAGCAAACATGGAAACGTTCGGAGCGCGCATGGAAAGAAATTCAGGAGGCGCGACTGTGCAGCTTAACTAACTCCTGCGCGCCGGGCCCGTCAGTGCCGGCCCCGCGTCGCGCTCCCCTCCAGGCCACCCCCCGCCCGCACCGCGACGGCGCGCCCCGGGCCCACCTCACCGCGCTGCTCCGGAGCCGTCGCGAGCGCTGTGATTGCGCCGGGCGCCTGCGGGCCGAGACGACCGCGGGCCACTGCGGGCAGAGACCGGGCCTGTCCAATCGCGGCCGCGCGGAGGAGCGGCCGAACTGGCGCCCCGCCGCACTACGAGTCCCGGCATGCACCGCGCCCCGCCGCGCGCTAAAGGCCGCGAGGCATTGCGCGCAAAGCACGGTGGGAGTTGTAGTCCGCCGTTTGCTTCGGGGCGGGACGAGGACTGGGGGCTTGGGGCGGTCAGAAGGAGTGCGTTACAAGGTCACCCATGAAACTGAGCGAGAAACTGATGTCTCAGCATCAATCTCGTGTATTTTGTGAAAGTTGGCCTGCACGGCACAGGCTTCTTGCAGCAGTCTGTGCTGACCTCACACACGGCCACTGCTTTGCCTCAGGAGTGGCTCACGTGCGGTTCAGAAATGGCATGTGCCATCGCTGAGAGGTGGGAGGTATTTTCATCAAAATTGTTTTGGTGGTTTGTTTTAATTGTGATTATTGTTTTTTTGTTTTTGCTACAAAAATAAAAAGGCTGAGAAACACTTCTATAAAGTCTCCTCCATCCTTAATGAAAGAAATCCTTCTTGAAAGGAAAAAGAAACCTACTTTTTGTCCAGTTAACCACGCCAGCAGGAACATACCTGCTTCTGCCTTGCCTGTCAAGTATAACTTAAAAAAACAAAACTGGTTCACAATTTGTTTTCAACCAACCATGGTTCTGAATGTCTGCGAAACTCATGGTTTTGCTCTGACTTTGCCACTTGCGTTATCTGCACATCTCAGCTCTGCTTATGATAATAAATGTGAAAGGTCAGTGCTGGTTAATCATCAGTACATGTCTAGAAGTGTGTCCCAGAGATGTGGCTTCCTGGCAAGTCATGTTATGGTTTGGGATGGCTCAGAGGTGGCCTCTGAACTGACAAAAGCCATCCTGCTGTGTATCCAACAACCCTAAGCCTCTCTTTCCTTCCCTATCTAATTTGAGTTTAGTAACCACGTGGTTGTGCTTGTGCTTGGAGTGTCATTCTCTGGTCCTAACAGCTGTCTGCATCAATTAAAAGCATTGCTGGCCCATCACAGAATCACAGAATCATAGAATCACCAAGGTTGGAAAAGACTCACAAGATCACCCAGTCCAAACATCCATCCATCACCAATAGTTCTCTCTAAACCATGTCCCTCAACACATCCAAGTGCAAAGGGGTTTGTTTTCAAGCTGTTTATCACAGCTGGGCAATGAGAGGTGTGGGCCAGCCATCATTTTTGAAAAGTCAAGCAATATTGTTGCCAAATCACTCTCTCTGGATTCTACACTCATTAAGCATCAACAGGATGCTTTTGGCTTTGAAAAATAATAGGTAGGATCACTGCAGAAATCCTGCATCCTGGTTAAACTTAGCAGATGTATTAAAGAGATTCGAGTGATATTTAGGTTTTTTACTTCCAAGTGCGATTGTTTCTCTGGTGGTGTTAAACAGCAAATTAACAAGCTGCCTTGCATCGAGTAGGAAAAATATGGATGGTGTTGCTGGGCATGTGATCTGAAACAAACTGAGAGATTAAGATGCAATTGGGATAAAAAAGAAGTGCCCAGGTGTCCTGCAAGAGGAATCCAGCACTATTCCTACTGCCCCTGCTGCCATAGATAGAAGCAAAGCAAAGAGAAGAAAGAAAAATAAAAGAAGGAAGGAAGGAAAAAAAGAGGGAAAGAAGGAAAGGAAGGAAGGAAAGAAGGAAGAGAAAGAAAGAAGTAGAGATCGTTGGTCACACAAACATTTTATTGCTATATGAACAAACAAACATGCAAAATTTTGGAAAGAGAAAAGCATGTACATAGGTAAAAACATAATGTATTTATGAAACTTTTTGCCTCTTGCTCTGACAGCTCTAGAAAGCAAAAGTAGCCTTCACCATTATGTCTCATAACAAGACTGTGACTCTCTTGAATGTATTCCAACCAACCCGCCAAAGCCACACAACACAAATGAGAACTAAGGTGCTAGCAAATTCTGAAAGTGTTGGCCAAATGAGTACAACAAAATCCCACATATGAAACTTAAAAAACTGCAGATAAGGCAGATAAGGTGCTTTCTTAACATTGAGATTTTAACCAACCACGTATGGAAAGTCCTACAGACCACAAGGCTGCTGCACAGTCAGTGAGGGTAGTTCAGCTCTGATTCTGTTTTGCTAGGAGTGCTCTGATGGGATTTTTTCCTACAGCCTGCATTTTTGCAGAAGGCTGGCTTAAATAGCTGGCATGGTAATAGTAGTGCCTGGAAAGCACAGCTTTCCCCAAAAGAAGCTTTCCAGATTTCTGTCAGAAGTCTGGAGATGTGCCAACCTGTGTATTGATGCTAGCTGCTAGCATCACAGCTGACAAAAGCTGGACTGAACAATCATTGGTTTTGCTTTTAATCCACTGCAAAACACATTTATAAAAACATGGTGCAGTAAACCACTCTGGGCTGCATATGTTATTTCTCCTTTAACAGCATCTGAATAGATCGAGAATTTACTTTTTGATGAATCATTAAGACAGTTTTAGCTGGGCGGAAATGGACTATACTGGTGAATGGAGCACATGTAGGTCATGTATCAGTGAGCCAGATGCACAGGGTGCACACCAGTAAGTGAATGCAAGCACGTGATTCTTAGATTAAATAACAACTAACGAACCAGAACATGCCTGAAAGACTGCACCTCACAACTTCTTTCTGGAATTTTTTAAGGGAAGTTTTTTATTTCTTGGGAAAATTGACACCAGACATTTTTGAATGTACCCTGCATGGGAGAATCAGGAAAATAAAAGGGAGAAAGTGAGGATATTTTGTGGATATTTTACGAATTGCTCATTCTTTGTAGTTGTATTAACTCAATTCTGGCAGAAAAAGGAAATCAGGAAAAAAAATAGCTAGTGTGTAAGATACGGAGTGAGAGATATTTACGGTTAAGGAAACAATGTGCTGAGCCTGGTCTTTCAAAATCTTCTCCAACAATCATATTAGATTTGACAGACTGGCAATGGTGCATGACTAGCTGACTTGTAAAAGCAAACATCATGGTTAACCAAGATGTTTGAAAAGAGAGAAAACTTAGTTGCATTTTAGCAAAACCAGCAGATGAACAAGGAGGCGATCTTAGCTATCAAGAAAAAAACAAACACATGTTGTCTTCATTTTGGGAGGAATATTCTAAGAGACTTACATGAAGCAATCTTAGTTCTGAAAGAAAGAAATATGATAGCAAGTGTGTCATCACGGAGATAAACTGAGATTAAGCAAGTCAAGGAGCCAGAGGGATTCAGCAGTTTATTTCACTTACATCACTGTGGGAACATAAACACAAGCATTTTGAGAGGGAGTGAGAGGAAGCCTAATCCCTATAGCTTCATACTTGCTTTCTTCAACCACTGTGACAGATTTAAATAAATTTGTCAGTGTTCAAGGTACTGTTTTCCAGTATTTTCTTTGGAAATAGGTTGCCAGGTGGAGAGGAAAGGCTTGAGACATCATCACGGAAAAACAGTGAACAGAGTGGACCCTAAGTGGGTCGTGATGAGGTTTTGTGTACATTGTGTCAATAAATAATTAAGTGCATTGTTGCATAGAGAAGAGCAAATAGAGGTTTAAGAAGGATCACTTGCAAGAAAACATTGAAAGACCTGGGGCAACTTAGTATAGAGAAGCACAGGTCCAGGAGAGCCACTCTAACATGCTTCTGATGCATAACAAGAGGAAAATAATATTTTCACATCTCCAGGATACAATAAGAAATAATAATCTTAAAATGCAACAGGTATGTGTAGATTAGAGACTGGAAAACATTTTCTTATGATAAGCAGAACTTACATCCTACAGAAAACACAAAAACTAATTATATCCGTTTACACATCTTTTCTGCAGCTGATTTACCTTTCTACCTCAGTAGCCATGTGTTTAGTGGATTGCTTGGGGGAAAAGAAAAAAAACAAGCATTTAGCATAGAATAAAGTAGGTGTGAGGTGATAGCCTCATGACCAGGAAATTCAAAAGAACAATGTGTACCACAGAAAACAAACATGGGGAAGGGAAAAAGGAAAGAAGACTAGAGGTTAAAAGATTGCTAACGTATCCTTGCTGACAGCAGGCTTCCAAATAGACAGTGCTGATTTAAAAACTGTGGAATATGGTAATGACCAGCTGTAAGCTTAACGCTGTTATTTACTGCAAGTATGCAGTCCTAGTTCTGGCATTTTCATTTCATGTAAAATATCCACTAAAGTCTGTGAAAACAAATGTCAGTGATGAAAGTCTATATACCCAGAATAGGATTCTCTAAGCTTGACCTATGTTGTCTTTTGTTTTCATCGCAGGCAGCTGTGGGAATCCTCGTATCTGACTTCCTAAACAGTGCATGCATCCCCTTGATAATGATTTTTTTCCTACACAAAAGTAATGTCTAATTATGTGATGTGTTTGCAGTATCACTGTGAACATCTGCACTCAGATTCCAAACATTTGAGTAACCCATTGCCTTGTTCAAGACAAATGCTCTTTTCTCTCTCTGCTGGTTAAAATACATTTCCCTCTGTATTAGATTCAGCCTTGCCTAGTTGATCTGCACATCTGCAGCTTCAGGATTTCTCCATGTACTTCATGGTGAAGAGAATTACCAAACTGGCCCAGTGAAGACCTTCCACTCTCAATGCTCACACCATCACATGCACTTGCCTTTTGTGCTGGCAGCTTGATGAATTTGATGTCAGGCTCACCTCTGTGAGCCTTCACAAGGCTTTTCATTGCCATTTCAGCCACGAGTTATTATGAAGATCTAAGGGCATTATATAGCACCAAAGTTGCTGAGTTTACATCCTTGGGAGTGACAGTATGTACGCAGAAGATAAATATTTCTCAGTAAAAAACTTCCTAGAGACATGCTGCATGCAAATTTGGACAACTCCAGGACAAATAAGACCTTTCAAACTTGTCCTCCACAGCTCTACTGTCAAAAGTGGAAAACATATCCTTGAGATAGAGAAAGAAAAAGTAAAAATCTCTTCAATATTGAATTAGTAATCGTGAGAAAAGCCAAATGTAATCGCAGTAGACAGGGTTAAATTCCTCTGAATGTTTGTATTGAGGAATGTTTGTGTATATTTTCATTTGTCAAAAAAGAATTAAGAGAACTGCTATTGGTCTTTCATTTGTTATGTGGATTTGCATGCTCTTGGTAGGGAAAGTTGAGTCCTAACCTAGTAGAGAATTGTTCTGAGTATTCTGGATTCTTTTCAACAAATAATGAACTCGAATTAAGGAAGGCTGAATGCAAATAAACCTCCCAAATCCTCAGACTCTCCAAATTTCATATTCTAAAAGCTTCTGTTTTTTAAATGTCACCAATCACTTTTGGTCTCCTAACTCTGATGATTCTCTCAGTGTCTGTCTAGAAGGCTGGCTTTGTTTCTCATCTGAAGAATGATGAATGACCCCTGTCATTTGCATATGGAGAAAAAGGAAATAAGATAGTAAGAATACTGCTGGAAAAAAATCAGCATGATTTGCTATATTATACACTTGCTTCTAGGACTGGAGCAATTGTGAAGGCAAATCCATTCTTCTGAATGTGACATGAGCTCTACTCTTGAGATAGACTTCTCTAACCTTTGCCTGAACTGACCTACCAGTTATCTTTAAAAAAAAAAAAAATAGTTTTCATTTTCTTCACGCACCATCATGTGCTAAAATACTCCTAACAGATGCCTTGGTCTTCACATCCCCTTTTAGCTAATGAATGCAGTAACTTACAGATGATTGAAACAACATTGCGGGATAAGTGTACTTTTCTACTTACCCAACAATAAAACCTGAAACTATCTAAAACTTACCTCAACGCCAGACACACAAACCGTAGAAAAGTCTCCCAATTTTAAGAAAAGCCAGAATTATTCCTTCCTCCTGATTGTGCCTTTTGCATACTTGATAATAAATATTCCTAAATTTCATAATATTCCACTCACTGTTGGAATAGTACTTTATTGGTTGTAGGATGCTACCAGTTCACATTTAATGAAAGCCATTCTTTTCAAATCTTTTTCCTCCTTTGAGTGGAAGTGAAACATGCCCCATAGACGAAATCTCTTGAAAGAATGATGAAGTTGTTCTTCAGGCCACATCTCTTGCATTCACAAGAGCCGTTCTTGTCATGCAAATCTCTGAATTACAATGTTTTGAAATAGGAAATGGGTTGCTTTAATGTATCAAAAAGATCGTCATGGCTCATTTTGAAAGAGCCTGAGAAAGCCTAGAGACTTTTTATGAAAAGGAAGCTTAAGACTGGAAAAATACAAAGACAGTGCTTAGATTATTTCTTCACCAGTGGGAGCTCCTGGATTCTCTTATAAATGTGAACAAGGAGATGGGAAGCCCTTGGGCTGACCTCACCTCTTGTCCCCTCTAAGCCTAATCACGATATCCTATGTAAACTTTATCTTAAAAGACTTAAGACAACCTTGGGCCTGTTACCCAAGTAGGAGCCAGCACTGATTGCACAGCACCTTTCAAGGAATTTCAGCAGAAACAAGGTCATCTGGGTGTTATCATACAGGACAGATTGCTGCAAGAGGATGAGGGTGAGCCCAGCTTCTGACAAGAGTTTTGTGCAGTCAGGAGGACAGAACACGTTTGCTTATTTGCACTGATTGTGCTGGCAGAATGGAGGGGTTTATATCCTATTGGTTCCGCGTTCTTTGGTGTTTTAAGCTGCCTTCGAGAATCAGGTGATCCATCTGTCAAGCAGTCTTCTTAACAGTCTCCCTTAACTGTCAAGAAAAGCCAAGTCGACGCCTGGCATTTTATAACAGCCTGACCGTCGCTCCGCGGGGCTGCAGCTCCTCCTGCCACCACAACGCAGAAATGCAGGACACGCGTCGCTTGGCAGCCGCCCGCCGCGTGCCCGTTTTCCACGTTTGCACGCACATCTCGGGGCTCTGCCCGCCCCGATTGAACTCCCACAACTCGAGGGCCGCGCTCCGCCTCACAGGTGCAGCGACCGCAGCCCTCGTGGGCCCCAGGACGGCGCGCAGCCCTGAAGAAAAGGCGCGCGGTAGCCTGCAGGCGGTGCGTGACGAACTTCCCGCCAACACTCACGCCGCGCCCCGCCCCTTCCCGACGTGACCACGCCCCCAAGCGGAGGGGCGGGGCCTGCAGCAACGTGCAGTTTCACGCCTCTCCCGTCGCCTCCTGCGCGTGCGCGCGGCGCGGCCCGGAAGGCGGCCACGTCTGCCGGAAGGTGGGCAGCGCCTGGCCGGGGTTTTGCTGCGCGCTGTGTGCCGGCCTCCTCTCGCCGCTCTGCTCGGCCTGGGGGTTCCTCGCGCTGGGAGGAGGTGAGGCCGGGCTGTGCTGAGGCCTCCGCCGCTCCTGAGGGCCGCCGGGTGGGAGTAGGGGCCTGGCGGGGCCGTGGGTCCGGGCTGGGTCTGCCAGCTCAGCTTCTCCTCGCGGCCGCTGCGTTGCCCGCTTCCTGCAGGCCTGTCCCGGGTGAGGGGGCCCTGTCGTAGGCTCTGAGTGCCGGGGAGGTGCTCCTCGTCCCCCTGTCGCTGTCGTAGGGGCACCTCAGGGCAGCGGTTTGTTCTGGGGATGTTCGTCCCTCTGACCTGGCTGATCTGCAGGTCAGGCACCTGAGGGATGTTTGTCTCGTGCGTCCGTTCCTGCGGTGTGTTTGTTGACACGTTTTCCTTCTCCACCTGGGTTTGGGTGTTGTCAGATGCAAGTAGACTTTATGTTCTGTCACCGCTGCACTGACAGGCTGCATCAGCAGGTGCTGATGCTAGGAGCAGGTATGGTTTGATGGCAAAGCCATGTGCTTTTGTGTATTTTCTTAGGAAAATGATTTGGTTTATTTCCATCAGTTATCAAAACAATGAAATACGAAGTTAGTAGGACAGAAGTGTTAATGTAGTTACAACAGTAATAGATGACTGCAGCAGTTTTTCAGTAACCCACGCTTCTTGTCTTCTCAACGCCTGTCTGATTTTAAATTGTTCTCTTTTGCAGCATATGTTCCTGAAATTTTGATGTAGAGTTAATCAGCAGACATTTATCATGTCTTGGCTTGCTGATCTGGCTGGAAAGGCGGAGGATCTTCTCAACAGAGTTGATCAAGGGGCTGCATCAGCTCTGAACAAAAAAGACGCAGCAAGCAATGCAGTTTTTGATAGCAAGAATTTGGATTCTGCCAATGAATATTCTGAATTGTCCCAGCATGCCAGAGAACTGAAATATCAGACGTCATCCAAAGCAGCCTACATCTCCTCAGCAGCTGATAACATTAAAAACCAAAAGGCTACAATCTTAGCAGGAACTGCAAATGTTAAACCAGCGCGTAGAACAAATTCAGAAGTTGCTTCTTCAGTAGAAAGTGTTTCCACATCCAGAGCTTCCTCGCATTTTGTGAGGAGAAAGAAGTCTGAACCCGATGATGAGTTGCTGTTTGATTTTCTCAACAGTTCTGAGAAAGAGCCTAATGCAAGGATGGACTCTAAAAAAGAGAAGGGCAAGGCACCTGTTCAAAATCACTCTCGGACTTCAAACATTAGTTCTGTATCTACTAGTACACAGAGTGCAGTGACTACTGAAGATAATTCTGTCGGAAGCAAAAGCAATGGTAGTTTAATAATATTGAATCTAAAGATATTTTAAACCCTTTTATGTCTAGTGTAAGGCTAAGGTAAAGGTTTTTTGTCACTTCATGAAAGATCTAGTGGCAGCAGTGTGTTACATTTGTGAAGTACAGTATGGTTCTTGCTATTTTTCATCACTGGAATAATCTTAGATACTACAGTAATTTGGCAGGTTATATAACGTGACACTTAAATCCTTTGTGTTCTTTATCTGCTTCATTGCTACTGCTCACCTTATCCTGCCTGAGTCATGGCCTGATACTACATCAGCACCTGTGCATCCCTACTTGGAAGTATGGGTTCAGGCATTGCTGCATTTGTTCCTTTGCCTGGAGTTGTTGCCTGTTGTGATGCCACATATGTGAGCAAGAGACTTTCACTACAGCTGGTAAATGGTTCTGGCTGTTACCCAATGCCCTACCTGATAGATATAATGTGAGCTTCTCCCTGCTCTACCATGGAAGACAGGCAAGCTGTCAAACTTGCTTGGCTTGGACAGTGGGAAAATGGGCATGCTTCTCTTGAGCTACAGGCGTGAGAAAGTGAGATAGACAGCTTAGTTTTTGCCAGAAGTTGTGCATTGCTGCAGATACCTGCAGTAGTTTCCAGGCCAAGTGGTTAAAACCTCAAGTGTCTACTAAGGAGAATAAAACTCTTAGAGACTTTCATTCTCTATCTGGCTCCCCAGTCTATAGTCTTTCCTGTAATGTTATTTTTTCTATAAAATTGAAGCAAATAGTTGTATTTCTAATAGCATAGCAGGAGTATTATTTGTTCACTGCTTTATGCATGTAAAGCACTGTGCCAGTTTTTCACTTACAGATTCACAGTATCCATAGAGTTGGAAGGTACCTTTAAAGGTCATCTAGTCCAACTCACCTGCAGCAAACAGAGGGATCCACAGCTAGATCAAGTGGTTCAGAGCTTGGTCCAGCCCGATCTTGAAGGTATCCAGGGACAAGTCATCCATCACATCTCTGGGCAACCTATTCTAGTGCCTCACTACCCTTACTGTAAAAGACTTAACTGCATTAAGTGTATTGAAAAGTTTTACAGGTAAAAAGGGGTCATTTCCAGAGATCTAACTGCTTTTGTTTTTCTGGGTCTGTAACTTTTCAATAACATTTGACAGCAATAAGTCAAATATGTTAAACTTAGCTATATGGCATGTTGTACCTTGATAATTGATGCTCAGGGAACATGGTTATTTTGCTCAGTGTGATGCATTGAATTTTTTTCTGAAGATTTTTCAGCGGAGTTTGCATTTTGAAGCTGCTAAGTGAGGAGGCACATGATTGATATGTAGAGTTTGAGCATACTAGTTTTGAAGTCAATTGTATGTATCAGTCATTTTGATGTCCTATATTACAACTGTTGAAATAAATTACAGTTCATTAGTTACAGACAAAAGTAAATTACAGTATGTACATTGCCTTGGATGCAATCCCCTGTCTGCTATAAATGGCTAATTTTTTGCTTTATTAGCTTGATTGGACTCTCGAGTTTTCCAGACAAAGGAATGAAGATAGATTGTCTGATAATTTCAAAGTTATGTAAATGAATTAAAAGAAAGGAAGTAACACTTCTTAAAAACATTTAAATAGGAAAGGGGGTTGAGAAAATCTGAAATAAACTTTTCAGTCACTGTGGTTACTTGTTGGTACGCTGTTAGGAATTCCCAGTCTGCCCCACCTCCTTGATGAGCTCTGGCTCATGAGACCTGCTGGAGTGGCAGCTAAGAAGGTGGGACAGATTGGTTGATAATCACAGCACGAAGAAAATGGTGTTGTGACAGCTAAACTGCAGTCTGGCATTGAATCTGCTGTAGTGTGTCCCCGTGGATTTTCAACAGTTGTTGATCTGGGGCACACTGAATGCAGAAGGAATGTTTTTGCAATGTTTGCTTGGTTGTTCACTTTCTGTTAAGACTGGTGCAAATCTCCCAGCTGTCTGTGCATAGCATCAACACTGCTAGAGTTGCTGCATTAATTTCAGAGCAAATCCAGTACCATGTGTGTGCTGAGGAAGGGCTGTAGGTTCCTTCTTCCCTGCAAGTGAGTTCTGTTCAGACTACATCAGAAATTCCTATATCGCTTTTTAAAAGTAATTTTAAAAGCGTGTTTTGAGAGTTGTTGGTGCAGAATCATCAGTAAGATGATGTTTCAACTGAAGATTCTTAAAACACTCTTTTACATAAAGGTAGCTAAAACGTACAGCTGTGTGGCTGAATTACATATTTAGGTTTGACATCAAAATTATGTTATATTCCAATATAAGCTGTTTTGGTTTCTTTTTTTTAATTAGATTAAGTGCATTCAACCACTGATACAGACCTACAAATGCTTTGATCAGCTCTAACTTGCATCTCTCTGTACAGAAACTCCAGACAGCTCAGACTCTGGACTGGGAACCCAAGTGGATGGCACAAAGGATTCATCACTAAGTGCAGTAACTAATCCTGGCCTTTCAGCTAACGATGATGTAAAATCACACGAGCTATCCAACCTTCGCCTAGAGAATCAGCTGTTGCGAAATGAAGTGCAATCTTTAAATCAAGAAATGGCTTCATTAATTCAGAGATCCAAGGAAACGCAAGAAGGTATCGTAGTTTGGAAACTAAACTGTAACATACTGTGAAAATACTGGTAAACTGGGAAGCAAAGCTATTTCTGTGTTAGAGTTTTATATTTATAATAAAGTCTTCCTAGATAAATTTGCATGTGTGACTTAAGCAAAATGATTCCTGGTTTTCAAAATGATGAGCTGAGAGAGACTGGAAGTCTTGTTCAACTACAATAATAACACACATGTTGATGAAAATGATGTAGTTGAGTTAGTTCCAATGCTTACATCTTAATACTAGCAAATATTAAATGTTAAAATATTTTTTTCTGCCTTTTAAAGTTTCTTGCAAAATGGTTATGAATGAATGCCTTTAAGTGCTTGAAATCTGACTGCTTTCTGTCTGTAGCTAATTGATGATGAAAATCTCAGATTGGTATTTTTGTATGACTATATTAGCTTTTTTTTTTTCCTAAAGCTACATGAAATGAAATATGACAGATGTGAATATAAAAACAAATAATAAAATACCTGGCAAACTACTTCAGTTAGGCACACAACTGAGGGATGGGACTGTATCTTCTTTTTTTTTTAAAGTAAGTGTTTAAGTTGCAGAATTTATTCTCCCTTGAAGTTTAGCATGTGAACTTTGATTAAAAACAAAGTCTCAGTAAATATCCAGGTATCATTTTAACACTGTATTTGTTTGCTGCTATTTAGTTTGATTTATTGTTATGTAGTGTTGAATTAGATGCTACCTGCAGAGGTTTTGAAAGGTTTGCTCGCCCAGAGCTGTTCAACAGTAGTTCATTGCAAGGATTAAGACAGATTGTCAGTTGCAAAGTGGAATGAAAATGAGTTTTGAGATCATATGTCATTTTTTTCTTTTTTTTTTTTTTTTTTTTAGTAGGTCATGATCTGACAGCCAAAGTCTGGTATTTGTTACTTTTTGGTAGCTCCTAAAGTTTCAGTGTTGCTTCAACTCGGGTGTATTTGATTTCTTCCTTTAGGAAGTTTAGCATGCACATCCTGAGCACTTAAAAAAAAAACAACCTTGTCATGATCTGTTTTTAAAAACTTAAAATGAACACTTTACATTGTAGAACTGAACAAATCCCGGGAAAGGGTGGAGAAGTGGAATGTTGATCATTCAAAGAATGACAGGATGGTCAGAGAACTTCGAGCTCGTGTTGATGATCTGACAGAAGCTGTTGGTGCCAAGGATTCCCAGCTAGCTGTGCTCAAAGTACGCTTGCAAGAAGCTGATCAGCTCCTAAGTTCCCGGACAGAAGCTTTGGAAGCATTGCAGAGTGAAAAATCACGGTACTTAATTTCAGACTTCACAACTTTGCAAAAATAGTAGTAGGGTTGAAAACTCAGTACAGGTAGTTTAGTCTCTTTAAGGATAAAAATGAATGAACTAATGTGGGGAAATATGAACACTGAAGTTTGCTCTGAGCTTGTTACATCACAGCTGGCAGTAGAAACTGGGCAAATGAATAAGAGCAATTATCACCTGATTATTGAAACAAATTGTATACAATATATTTATGTTTTTGTCAGAGGGTTGAAGCTTAATTTCTGAAGAAATGTTTCTATCTTGAAAAATACACTTGCTTATTCTCAGATGTAAAGACTTCTTTGTCTTTTTACTGGGACATGAATCTGAAATTGGTTACTTCACAATGGGACTGCAGGAGTTATTAGCCAGCCATGTTCACTAATTTACTGGGTACGTTTTCAAGGCTGTTGCTAAAGGTAGTCATATTTCTACCTTAATCATACTGAATTTTTAATTTCAATTAATATGTATATCACTCTTTCAGAATAATACAAGACCACAGTGAAGGGAGCAGTTTGCAAAATCAAGCCCTTCAAACTCTTCAGGATAGGCTGCGTGATGCAGACTCCACACTGAAGCGAGAGCAAGAAAGTTACAAACAAATGCAGGTTAGATGGGAAGACTAAGGAGGAGTTTGACTGCTTGTGAGATCAAATTTGTGAGGTTCTAACTGCTCTCTTTTCCCCTTGACTAGTTCCTGTTCAGGGTACTAAGCACTTGGAAACTGTGCCTTCTGCTACACTAAGTATCCTTGAGATGCTGATTTTCTTCTTATGTGCTATTTTGAAAGCTTTATGATTAAATTTCTTGAGAATTAATGCTGAAAAAGAATTTTTTTTCACTCTATCTTTTATGTGAAAACATATTTTAAATCAGCAGTCAATTTGATTTTCCATGCCGTATTGTTCCCCACCTGCACCTACAACTTTAATATGTAATCATAAGAATATTAGACTGGGTGGTCACTTCTGTGGTAAATGTGAAAGCTTATATTGCTAAAGACTTTATGCGTTCTCCATTTAGCTTAGCCTTTATTATGTATAATAACATCTGTGAAAACCCTTACTCTTCTTTGAACTAAAATATCTTTATGATTGATTTATTTATTTTTGTGGAGGGATAGCTTGCTTTTTGTTTACCAAATGTATGTAAACAGAAAGATCTACTTCTGGTGGCAAAGAAATGCATGTTCTTACTGAGTACCAATTTAGTACTTCCTTAAACTAGCAGAATTTCTTTCCACACAGCACTAATGCGTATGCAAGTTGGACGCAGTCCATATGAAGTGTTATTTCAAATGTAGTTGCTCTTAAATTCTCTTTTGTTTCTAGGTTAAAGTAGTGATTGTGTTTAAACAGAAGTATTGTTTCTCTATTGCTAATAGAATGAGTTTGCAGCACGTTTGAGTAAAATGGAAGCAGAACGTCAGAATTTGGCAGAAGGGGTAACGGTTGCAGAAAGAAAGTATTTAGATGAGAAAAAGCGAGCTGATGAGCTTCAGCAGCAAGTCAAAGTATCTAAAAACCAGCTAGAATCTGCAAAACAGGAACTGGCAGACTATAAACAGAAAGCTACTCGTATACTCCAAGTAAGCATTTATTTAAAGGCATTCAGTTTGATTTGTATGCTTGATTTTTATAGGATGTTATTCTTCACGTAATTTAATCTGTTTTTTTTCCATGTGATCTGTAATGTATTTTGGGGTGAATCCATAATAATATCTATTTAGAACAGTTACTAGTCTGCATTTTGTACCTCCTAAAATTTTGGTTGACAGATTGAGTTAAATAATGAAATGGAAGTTGAGGTCCTGAACTTAAAGAAAAATCCAAGTGAACCACTGCACTTATTTTATAACATCTGTCATTGTGTTCCCCATCCCAGAGTCTGATCTTAAGCAGATGGATACAAATGTAATCTACAGTTTATCTACACCCAGTGTTCTTGTGCCAAGAAAACTGCTTTATTTTGCTTGAGTCTGAAGCATAGTGGATACTTGTGTAAACCAAAGAAGATATTTTTGTGTTCTGAAAAGCTGTGTGTGATTATATAAGCAATGGCAAAATTACATATTTTGTGCAGTTGTCTACTACTTAAGTTATTAAAGGTACTAATTTGAGTTTTATAAGAGTTAGCAAACTTTACCTGTTTAGAATAAATCAATTTAGTCTGATGACCAAGGACAGGACTTGAATCATGTTGATGAATGCAAGAAACATGAGATCAGAAATCAATTTCAAGCTAACGTTAGGTTAACTTTGTTTAAAAAAAAAAAAAAAAGTTTATTCTGTTTCCCAGAAGAGAAATTGCTGATTTGGGTTTTTATTTGGCTTTGTTGACAGGAGAAAGGATGGACTAAATCTTTGTCTTCGGTGTCTGTATTCTCTCTTACATTAGCTGGAAAGGCAGAATTTTTATCTGTGACATGTTTAACATTCCACACAATTCTAAAGAGTAAAGCTCTACTCTTCCTCTGATAACACAGACTTTCAGTACATCCCATCTCATGACATATGGAAAATCAGAGAAATTATTAGTAGGGAAGCATTTTCCATTTTAAAATGTGTAGAGTTATTTTTGACTTGTCTGAAAGAACAGATATAACAGTTATTTTACTGTAAATCTACATAGGAAATGTAGAGCAATTTTTTGATGGGTTTTATTTGAGCACTTATGAAATAGTACTGTCAATAACATTTTGATTTATTATTTCAGTCTAAAGAAAAGCTGATAAACAGCCTAAAAGAAGGCTCTGGTATTGAAGGTCTGGATAGCCAGACAGCAAGCACAATGGAACTAGAGGAACTGAGGCACGAGCGTGACACTCAAAGAGAAGAAATACAAAAGCTAATGGGACAAATACAGCAGATGAGAACGGATCTGCAGGTAGCTGTGGTTATGTACACACCTACATGTAGTTAGCCATGCACAGAAGACTCTTTTTTTGTGTGCTTTAGGGCTGTCACTTCTAATATTTATTTGAACAAGTATTAAAACCAAGGCAGCTTTTGCTCAGCTGTGGGGTAAACACTTATAGAGAACCATTTTCTTCTCGTATTTTCTATCCTGGTGGTGGGAGAAGTATTGTAGATACCATTTTCTTTTCCCACTCTACTATGCACTTATTTTGAAAAAAATAATTCTTTCTAAACAAGCCTGATTACTTCTGTAGATTCTACCTACATCCTTTTCTGCAAGAGCTGCTACTAATCCTTGAAGCAACTATAATCTGAGTCAGCTGTGGCATAATTGGCTCAACCCAGCAGCTGTGCCAGGTTTACACAATTTTAGCATCCATACAGCAGAAGGGAAAAAGAGATCACTTGAAGGCTGCTTATGTTTACAAATTGCATTTATCTTGTTGATGTTGTAATAAAAATATTCTGTATAAAATGAGCAGTTGCCTTTAATTTACCCCCATTTTCATTTTTCTTGGAATCAGTATTGGAGAAGCAACACTTTCTGTAGTCACCTATGACAGATTGCAGTACTGTTTGAATGCTAGTGAAATAGTAATGTTTCTGTTCATTTCAGGATATGGAGACTCAGCAGGTAAGTGAAGCTGAGTCAGTGAGAGAACAGCTTCAAGACCTACAAGAGCAAATAGCAGCACATAAAATGGCCAAGCAGGAGGCAGAAGCTGAACTAGAACGGCAGAAGCAGGTAAAGAATGTTTGAAAGCTGATGGGGTCTTATTTCAGGCCTGTTTGTTGTCTTCAATAAAGCATTTGGCTTAATGAGAGAGTAGCTTATATGGTATTTGAGGGTTTTTTTCTTCTAGTATTCCAAGGCAATTTCCCAAATTTTAGTGAATGTCATAAGGCCAAAGTGCAACCAGTACTAAGCAGTAATCCTGATTAAATACAGTTCTCAGCTTTTTTTAAAGAATACACAAGACCCTAGAGAGTGAACAAAATTGATAATGATCTTAAATTTATCTAGCAGGTGAACAATCCAGCAACATGGATGTGGTAGTAACTTGCATTTATGTCAAGAAACTTAATAAAGGTTACAATTGTTTTGCAGTGATCAAATTCTGTGTAGGATTCCAAGCTACTGTATAAGAGAAATTGTTAACAAAATAGTAGTAGAAAATTTTTGTCCGGTTGTAACATCTTTTTAAGCTATTCTGTGCTAGGAAGAGGGGAAAAAACTTCATTCTTGTGTTTTGTGTTAACAGACAGAATATTAGATCAGACCCATGTTTTGCAGCCTATTAAAATGTCCTTTAAAAATTAAAAAAAGCTCATGTAAAGAGTATTAATGAGGAAAGCAGGTGAGGGTACTGTATTTGTTAGGAACAATTTATCTTGTAGGATTATCTGTCCTTTCAGAAGTTACATTTGAATGAGATGCTAGCAGCTTGAACTAATTAAAAGGCAGAAGTTGATGTCTGCTTTTGATAGATAGTTGATGGTTATATCAAAGCAGATGGTAGATTATATCACATTACTCCTGCCCTTCTGAGGGGTATATTTTAATTTAATGCCATGTATAGAAGAAGTGAGGTGAAGCCTTAAAAAAAAAAAAAAGCATTATTGGTTGCTACAGAAAATGATATTTCTTTTGATGACATATGTATACGTGTGCTTTTAAAGTAATTGTTTGCAATGATACTTAATGCAACAGTGGCCTGTTCTATTGGAGAATTGCTCTAACTTGCTGTAAAGCTTCTGAGGCTGACATTGGAAAATGAAAAGTTATTTACTGTATATCTGATGACTTAAAGGAAAAGTATGATCAGCTGTCTTCTGTAGCAGCTGATAGTTGAAGTGGCACAGTGATTTGAAGGCAGTTGTAATTTAAAAGATAAGTATGGTAGGTCTTCAAATAGGAGTTAACACAGCCACTAAATCGTGGGAGTAAGAAACCTTACTGTTAGTTTTGCTGTTCAATAAGTTTTCTCTTGCTAATATTGCTTTTCCTTTTCCCTCTGTTATGCTAATTTATCTTAAAAGTTTATGGAAGGTCTGTGACATTCACAAAGTTAAAGAGAAATATGAGAAGATTTCTTAAAATTGGAAGATACCCACTTCATTTTAGTTTAATGATTGATGGGCTCCTTTCAGGAACAAAGATGTCTCTCCCCTTCCTCCTCCTCCTCCCCTCCCCCTGGTATTCCCTAGTTCTTTAAGTATTGGTATCACTTAAAGATAGCAATATAATAAACAGTGAGAAGATGAGGACAACAAAACAAATCATGTTCCCAGTGGAATTGTGTCAGCATTAGTAAACTGATCTGGGCTAGTATTTATGTTAAGTCAGTCTTCACTAAAGGATTTTATGATCTTCTAGGTAGTGTCTTTATGCTCTGCTCTGTTATTTTTTCCCAGTGCTAGCCAGACGCTTCTAATTATATTAAATGTTAGTTTATATCTGATTATACTGTGTTACTTGTTCTAACTTTAAATAAGTAAAGTAAGTGTAACTTTAAATAAGAGAATCTCTTTCAAAGTAAGTATGAAAACAAGATCTTTGACTGTGATGTACTTCATAGGAACTCCGTTATACTGAGGAAGAATTATATCGAACAAAGAATACTTTGCAAAGCAGAATAAAAGACAGAGAGGAAGAAATTCAGAAGCTCAGGAATCAGGTACTGTATTTGTATAGAAAATAAGTATTACATTCACTTATGAAAACAGTGCTGAAAATTATTAATTTGCTTAAACCATACGAAAGACACATAGGAACTACTACTCAGTTAGCATGTGCTTGTTTGCTATGCAAAGTAGAATTTTAAGTGTGGAGGGTAAAGGAAAGGAAGCATGAAACAGTAAATAGTCTAATTTTATGATTACACATGCTTTTGTCTTCAGAGGGTAACCTGGGATCCAACTAGACCTGTTGTGTGCTTCATCCTGGAAACTAAACAATGCCATTGGTGTTTGATTGATCATGACTGTTTCTTCAGAGATTTTTTCAATTGTGCATAGAAACATAAGATGTCCCTCAGACTAGTTACCCATGTATCCAACAGATAGGTTTTTATCTTGAATAGTGGCAGTGTGAGCCTGGACACTGTCTTCGCTCCCTTGCACTCTTTCAGCATCTGTGGTTTTCTTAGGTGAATTAGAGACCCTAAGTTCTGTTAGTACGTTTATGGAACTGTTTTCCTTAAATAGGTCTAATCCCTTTTGGAACATTCTGATACTGTCAGTCTTTAGCAGCCTCTTCGGGGAGACACTCCTTGTTTGTACTGAGCATTCCCTTCCTCACTTGAAAATATTTTACATGCTCAGTTTGTGAAGTTGGAAGTAAGAGGAGACTGATTATTGTGGTTGTCATGCATTTAAACTCAGTTCTGAGACATAGTATTAATTTTGATGATAAAAGTTATATTCCACTAGAAGTGGAAAACATACGAATACATTTTTAAACAGCTTTTTTGTTTTTCACATGAAAAGTCTTGTCTTAACAACTGTTGAAATTGAGTTTCTTCTTCACTGCACTCACTGGTTTGGATATTATTATCCCATAGAAGTCCTGCAAATGTTATAGCTTGTTCTTGATGGCTTAGATTTTGGGAGCGTACTACTTTTGTAATTTGTCACATTGGTCAGATTTTGAATATGTTCTGATTTTTCCTTTGTTTTTTTAGCTCACAAACAAAGCTCTAAGTAGTAGTAGTCAAACTGAATTAGAAAATCGCCTTCATCAGCTGACAGAAACACTTATTCAGAAGCAGACCATGTTAGAGAGCCTGAGCACAGAGAAAAACTCACTTGTCTATCAACTGGAACGGCTTGAGCATCAGCTGAAGGGTTTCCAAGGCAATAGTACTAATGGGCCTTCCATTAATATGGCAGGAATTGATGGTACTGAAGGTAAATAAGGAATGATAACATTTAAAAATCTTCTCTCTGCAATGCAGCTTTCTGTATTTCCTAATGCTTTTCTCTGAAGATCTGAGTTCGTAAAGGAAAAAGAGAAGTCTGAAAATATGGTGCTTATAGCAGAGACTTTTTCAGCAGCAGTCTGTATCAAAAATAGTTGAATTAAAGCTCCTCTTTGTGAGTGATAAGTAGCCTTAATGAAGCCAGTTTAATTCTTAATATTGTGGCACTATTAAAGCAATCTTATTACAATCTTATACACAAATCCTGTCACAGGTGGAAGTCTGTCTTTTTGGGTTCAAACAATGTTAGAAGCTGGCAGTATTTGCTGTCTCGTAAAAAGGTTTTGGGAGGTGAATGTGAACAGTACACTTCCTTTTGAGCGTTGAATAAAATTTTCCTTTTGGCTTGTTTTTAGTTGCACAAAGGTAGCAGTCTGAGAATCTTATTAAAACAAAGTTGATGCATATTAAAAGTGTAAATAATATGTAAATATTTGGAGTATACAAGTTAGTATTAGAAGTGCTGTCAGTTTTACTGTATGAGAAATACAAGTAAATGGAAAAAAGATAACTATCAAACCCATTATTTTATACCTAATAAAAGAAATCTTATTACTTATTAGAATTCAATACCAAGATTCATTCAATTAACTAAAATAAATTTTTGAACATACTGAGTTGAATTGATGTTTAAATCAATTGTAAGTTTATCAGGAATCCTCCCCTTATAACACACTTCCCTGCCTCCAGCAAAATAGCAATAACAAATCAGATGAATTGCTATTTTTGTTTTTTTACATATGTTTGTTATAAACTGTAATTTAATTTTACTCAGACTGCAACTTGAAGTGGTTTTACAGTAATGAGTCTTTTTATTTCTTCCCTTCAAATAGGTGCTCGTATGCGTAATGTTCCTGTCCTTTTCAGTGATGTGGATACCAACATAGCAGGAATGTATGGGAGAGTTCGCAAGGCTGCTAGTAGCATAGATCAATTTAGGTAAGAACGTGACAAGAAAATGCATCTTCTGGTTTAGGAAAAGACTTTTTTAATAGTTTGCATTCTAAATTTTCTCACACATGAATATATGAAGTAAAATTCAGGTCAGAAACAGATGTAGAGTTTGAGTTTGTGATTAAATAGAATGAGAGGAAGAAGAACTTACTGCTTATTGCTGATTTGTGCATTTTGTTTTTCTCTTGTGTAGCATTCGGCTGGGAATCTTTTTAAGGAGGTATCCTATAGCAAGAATATTTGTAATAATATATATGGTAAGCAAGATTTCTTTAAGACTATAATTCAAGACTTCTTTTGCCAGTTTATGAAGTACGTCTTAAATGTACTGTGTAATTAACAGCTCTTTTTTTTTGTAGACTAAATAGTATTTACAAAACAGCATTTTGAAATTGTGTTGCTTGTTAGTTCTCAGTTTTTCTCATGAATTCTTAGTATGAAACTCTTAAGGACAGTTATGTAACTACCTTTTAAAAGAATGTTTAAAGTGAAGTGAGAATGGAAAATAATATTGTGACCTGCATGCACTGATGTTGGAAAGTTGACTTCTTTTATGGGTTTTCTTAATATTTGGCCCTCCGCTTTTGTTCAGTAATTAATGGTCATGCTACTCTAGTAGCTGAAAAAATGACTTATTTTTGCTGAAATTCAAATAATAGAATCTTAACATAGTAGGTGATAAAAATTGAGAAAACAAGAAAAAATTATGGAAATGAGATCCCTTCCTTTACCACTAGAGGGTAGATGTCTGTTAGTTGAAATGAACTGTAGCAAGGTAGACACGCAGTCTGCCCTGACTGAAAATGTTTATCAAGTCTTTGAAATGAAAGAGAATAAGTTGCTTGAGAACACACAGTGATTTTTCTGAACGGAGTCTCTAAGAACAGCTGTCACTATTTCAGTAAGGCAGAGAGATGCATGTAAATAAAGGAAATGACAAGGTTCCCCTGCAGTTTCTTCTTCCACCCTATTAAGTACTGGAAGGAACAGGGCTGTTTAATTCCTGACTTCTCTCTTTCTTCCTACTCATGACTTAGACTTCAGAATATGTAAATAAAATGCTTTCTGCTGAGATACTGAAGAATTTTACTGCCTGAGCTACTCAATAACAGTTGCACAGGAGCCATATGTTGGGCCTTTTTCAACAGGAATCTGTTATGACTGCTGTAATTTTAATGTTCGGGTTTTGGTTATTATTTTTTAAGGATATGTGTGATAGGTATTGTCACTTATCTCTTTTGTTGCACCCCAGCAAAATGTATTCCAACTGTAATTTCAGTGAACATTTCTGCAGTGTTTATAAAAATGTTATTAAACATCACGTGTGGGAAGGGAGAAGGAAAGTAGAACTCAGAGTTTTACTCTGTCTGGTGTTATCCAGGTGGCACAGGAGTATCAGTTTATCACTGGACAGGTCGCATAATGTGATGTCCATGGGCTGGGCTGGGTATCAGGGAGAACAGCTGGAGCTTCTGCAAGGCATGCATGGATGGAAAGAAGGTAGAGAGCATAAAGAAGCCTGGATTTTGTGCATTTATTTTTGCTGTTCACTTCTTCAGAATCTGACTCAGCATTTCATTAAGCATATAACAATTAGTTATTAGAAGTGAAAACAGTAGAAATATTTTGCTTAAATATTTTTCATACAATTTTTTTTTTCCACTTACACTGACACACATTGCCATAAACAACAAGTGTGTGTGCTAAGTTAATTTTTACTTCTCTTTTCCCAGGCATTGCTTCATCTTTGGGTCATGATTGTTCTGCTTACTTACACCCCAGAAATGCATCATGATAGCCCCAGTGGCAGATAGGCTGAGACACGACCGTATGCTGTGCTAATGTAATTTGGACTGACGGTGTATTTAGGATTATCAGTCCAGATATACTGGCAGACTTCCTCATGGTGTTTACAAAGAATGAAAACCATCATGCCTGATTTATCACTACTTTTTAAATACATGTTATAATACTATGTAGCTTTACCAATTTACCTAAAAGAGCATCCTTTTGCTGGTGAAATAAAGATATTAAGTTAAGCTAACTTTAGCCTTTACATTTTACATAAACCTTCTCATGGTTAGTGTAAAAGATTAGCTTGCATCTATAAAGAAATGCAAGGACTTCTGAAGTTACAGATAAACAAGGTAGAACTAATTTAGGTAATGCAGGATGTGGGCTATGGTCAGATAGCAGACTGTACTTAGTAATTAAATAAACGTTATTCTTTCTGGGTTTCTTTCAGTCTTATTTTGCACTTCTGTTTTTAACTTTGTAAATAGGCTTTTCCTTAATTTGTTAAACTGAAAAAAATGCCTGGATCTGTGCAATATCTTTTTGTAAATACATTGAAAAATAAAATATTACACATTCTTCTTAGCTTTGTACTTCTAGTGCAACAGGTGGTTGGTGGGGCTGCCTATTTAAATGTTGGTAGTGGAGCTTTATCAAAGAGAGACAAATGATGGTTTGAAGAAGGAAGGTTCAAATTCTTCAAGAAAAATGGTGTTTCCTTTCCCACTTGGGATTTCTGTATTTTTAACTATATTTTCTTGTATACCTCTTATTCTATATGTCTTAATCAGATCTTGTATTTACTGAAATATTTATTTTCTGTAACTTTAGATACCTAAATTAAACTATTTCTGTGATTTTTGTATTATGTCAAAAAATTATCATGCCTAAACGCTTCCAAATGTGATAATAAACACACCTCGTCCAATCCTTATTGTAAAACCCATAAGATCAATCCAAACCTACTCTTCTGTCATTAGGCAGTGGCATTCTTAACCTAGTAGTACCACAATACAAGGTCATTTTCTTGTGTGGTGCTCGAAGCTGAGTAATGTGAGGATGACTAATTTGTCACTGATGAGTATAGTTCAGCTCTCACATGACTTGAGCACGCTAAGCCTTGGTCCTGTACACAGAGCTTGTCGTGCTGTCTCCTATGGAAATGTTACAGTGGAAAAATGCCTGATTCACGGCCTGCAGAGAAACTGGAATGTTTTGATGGGTTAAATAATAAAAGAGAGAATTTTCAAAAAGTGTCCTTACCCTCTGTGATATTTGCTGTGCTTTTTTCAGTCCCTTGCTGCCTGTTTTCAGTTCTGATGCAACAGGCACTCTTGGACACTGGGAAGAGCGGATTGCTATAGAAGGAAGTTGAGGACGGACGTTTGTAAAACCTTTTTCTGCATATGTAGATTTTTTGTGGGTTTGTTTTCCTCCTTCAAAAATCACATACAGCGGTCTTTGTCACTTTTTTTTCCTACTTGTGAAAGAGAAGCGTAGCACTTCAATGGTGGTACCCCATTATATTTTGCTTTTCAAGAGGTGTAATTTGACCAATCAAACTGAATCAGGATGTTCCCACCTTGCGAAAAAGCTGGCAGTTGGCAGGTGATGATCAAAATTCCTTTCCATACATGAGGCTGTGCAGTGTGGGGGATTACACAGGATGAGAAAACACACTCACCTGTGCCACTAAAAGCTGTGCTTCTGTAAGTAAACACCTTCACAGCTCTGTGTAAATCACAGAGGAGTAAGAAAAGCTTTTACGATAGCGTTAACTGCTTCAGAGCTACACAAGAAGCACAGAGGACTACACCTTGGTGCTTTCTTTTAAATAGTGGGTTTTTTCCCCATAATTTATTTTAATGAGCTACATGTGGTGCAGTGTAAGAACGTACAAGATCCTGTAATGGATCCTACCTGTATATAAACGTCAGATTTTAAGTCAAAGGTTAAGATGCACTTCCTGCCTGGGATTAAGGCCTGTCCCTGATGTCACCTGCTGGCTGTGCTGAGCGTGCTGGAGCACTGGGTCAGAGGTGGTGTAAGGCCGGCAGCCAGCAGCCACTCCTAATGGTGTCAGGAGGCTGCCTGCCTGAACAGATGGCTTTGGCATGAACAAGGAGCTTCTGTTAGCCTACATCTTAAGTGATGGAAGGATATCCCAAGCACCGAGCCTTATTTAGGGGCTATCATGTTATGGTGCACTTAACCTACCATGACTTCATAGACCTGATCCCTGCACTTGGATTGCTGTATTAGGTCACCCATGTGTTACTGAGACCCTGCAGAAAGGAAGTGAATTTACTGACCGCAGGTAACAAGGGGGGAATTGGTGACTTGCATGGTCACTAATTTACTAATTTCTGATCAGCATAAATGAAACAGATGTTACTTTATATTGCATTTCTTTGCCTCCCTTCTTTGCTGGTCAGTTGCAGTTTGCAGTGAATGTGCTGCTGGGTATTTAGCCATAAAAGGCAATTTTAATGAATAACTATTTGCAAATACTGAGGATTCTTTAGAATATCAGTGGTTTTCCTCTGCATTGCCATCTTGCCCCGTGTCCTCAATTTAGAAATCCTTGACTTGGAAGAAGGCAGACAGGTATCACCAAAGTAGAAATGATATCAGATAAATGGCAGCTCACAAAATTACCTGCATGATAGTAACGAGCATGTGTGTGTGTGCACTCACATAGCTCATCCTCTTAGATATAATTTCCTTCACATGTGCTCTTGTCAATTTAATCTGTATCTTGTAGGGACCTGGAGTTGGGCTATTGACAGAAACAGACCCTCCACTGGCTTCTGCAAAGAATCTTTGGGGTTCTCCCTATCTAAACTTGCTTCCTGCCAACGTTGTTTGAAATAAACACTTATGCATTAAGAAGTGAGTGCAAGCTATTCAGCTCTTCAGAGAGCACATGCAGTGCTACAGGCAGCTCAAGGAAGGTAGGAAACCACAGTCTGTTGGACAGATCCAAGTGAATGAAAGTGAGGAAAAACCTTGGGCTGAGAGACAGAGACACTTTCTCAAACTGGAGCAAAACCAAAGCTGTTTGTGAATTATGAGCTCTGTTAATGATGTGATTAGAATTCTGAGAGGTCAGATCTCTTGTAAGATACTTCATGTGGGAAACGATAATAGAGAAGGAATGATATTTCTGTGCTGTGACTTAGACATCTCTCATTAGGGAATTCTACATGGATGGGTTTTCTTCTGAAATCAGCTCTTCCTCATACCTATACTGAAATGTAACATTTTTCTGACAGACGTTGCATATAGGAATTTTTTGTTTGCATCTTCATGTCAAACTAGGCAAGTTATAGTTTGGAGGACACAAGCAAGCAGGAGTTTGAACTCTGCTACAGCAGGTGATGGACACCAGATGTTCTGCAAAGCCAAGCAGGTGTGCTTGAGAAAGGTAAGAAAATCTTTTCCTATAGACACCAATGCTGTGACTGATCAATTGCAGCAAAATACTTGACCTGATATAGGAAAGACATGGGTTTGTAGGGCTGAGATAGACTGAATGTTGGTTTTGTGGCTTGGTTTGATTTGCTTTGTTTTCTTGAGGTAAAGGAGTCTGGTTTAGGGCTCATGCTGAAGGGGAACCTTATCACAGATAGCACCTTTCCAGTTTTATGCTAATGCACTTGTTTTCTCAAGAGCTTATAAGAAAGTTATCAACTCAACACCAGTGTCTCATAGAAATCTGGAATATATATTATTTGTATGCAAATTCAAGCAGTAATTAAATCCTGAATTACTCTATTTACAAAATTAAGAAGCTTGTTGAAGCATTTGTTTTCATATCTTTAGTGGCAAGAAAGCATAACAGTTCCCAATTAATGTTTAATTTATAATTAGAAAACATACTCTATTTTCTAATTATGAAAAACAGCAGCATGTGGGTTCTGCCGGAGACCCCTGCCTGTCAGCACGGCATCTCCTGGCAGCGTCCCTGGGAAGGAGCCTCATGTTTCCCTCCTACTGCCACAGCTCTGCATGCTTTTTCCCTTCCCTCATCTCCCCACCCCACAGATGCAGCTGATGAAACCTACAGCAGAACTGAGTATTTTCCCAGCTCCTTATTCTGACGTTCAAAGCCTCCTGGTACAATAAAGCCAGCCTAGCTTGAACTGCATATCGGTTTCTGCAAGTTGGATATGTAGACTGAGGCTTTCCCAAGCAGTACCTCCTAAATGCCTGTTTGTGAAACTGAAGGGAAGTGTCTGTGTTATGTTTTTGAGAGCCTTGACTCCTCTGGGCCCTGCTGACTTGGTGGGACATGACTTTGAACATGGTGACATTCAAGCTGCTCACATAGGAACTTCTTCAGCCATTATTTCAGAAAGGCAGCAGTGCTGTGTGATCTCTTGCATCAGTTACACATGACTATCATTAATCCAAGGTTACTGAAAGCATTGGTTTGAACTTCCTGCATCTGCTATTTCACAGGGGTTCATGCAGAGATCAATTATGCAGAAAAATAGTTTAATAAAAGCAAGCCATACAACTGCCACTTTTTCTGGGGCTGCAAGAACACAACCTGTATGGGAGCAACAAGTTTACCCTTAGAGACATTCAAGGTCAGGCTGGATGGGGCTCTGAGCTACCTGAAGGAGCTGTAGGTGTCCCTGTTCATTGCACAGGCATTGGACAAGATGACCTTTAAAGGCTCCTTCCAACTCAAATGATTCTATGGTTCCATGACTCTTCATTTTTCATTGATACTGGGTTCAAGTCAGCAGTGGTATAGAAGTATCAATTTCCATGTATTTTTCCCTTGGATTCTTCCAAGCATAAGTGAAAAAATACGTTTGCACTATTATCTACCTGTAGAAGTTTGGTTTCAGTTTTCCTCTATGGTGGGATCAGGACAGCTGTTAGCAGTGCACTTCAGTTTAACCTCCATGAGGGAACGTGGCACCCATCCCCAGGTGTCTGGAGATACCTAAGCACAAGGAATTTCCAAACAGTGCTCTCTTCCATAAGTTGTGGAAGTACAGTGAAACCAAATCAAATAGCCCAGATTGCAGGCTTTCTTAACTATGGGTATGCTGAGTTCTCTGCAAAGATACTTGGGCCTATGAAGGGCAATAGCAGCAATCCACATCCTCCTAAAGCAGCTCCCTGAGCTCTGGAGATGAACGAAGGTGACCCAGTGTTGTGGAGCAGGAGGAGGAGCTTGTCCTTTGCAAGGCTGCAGGGCTCATCTTTCCCAGTGAATTAGGATCAGCTGGGTCTGGCTTTTAGGAGTAGCGTGCCTGTCTAGATTGCTGGTAGGTAATTGATATTTTTCTGTCTAGAATGAGGTAAATGCGCATTTTATCTAGCTAATTAATCTGAGGGATAGAGCTAACGTGATTACTGTGTTCTTCTTTCCCTTGCTCCTGTCAATATGGCCATGTGGCATTTGTATATCTGAGCCTTTATTAAACTGCTTTATTTGCAAGCAATCAAACTAGGAATATTATGAGGACATGGATGATTTTGTTTAGCCTGCCACCTTTATGCAGAGCATATTAACAAGCAAGGAAATGGCAGCGGCTTTTATTGTCTTCCTATCTCTGTAAACTCTGCTTTATTTAAAAAAACAAAGCTCTTAAATAAGCAAAGAGGAATGGGCTTGGAAAATTCTGTGAACTCCAAGGTTCTCCTCTGCTTTTTCTCTGCAGGAACAAACACCACCAGCTCCTCCTTTCCCACACGCTGAAATGTTTTATTAATATGTCAGGAAACATGACTCAATCTGTGGCTTTGTCAAGACACAGACAGGAAATTTAGGTGCTTGCATTACCAACTGCTACTGTTTTGTTAAATTTTTTCCCCTTCTTGACAGTTTAGTGCCTTAGAACAGACTGTTTCTTTGGATATAGTGACTAATAAGACAGTCAAAATTGCCTTGGCACTAAAGATTCTTTGGGA